CCTATCATTGGGGCTGGAGAAAGTATTGGTCACATAGAAACCCCTGCAAGGAAGATAAATTACAATGAAAATAGAGTTCCTTCCCCTTTCAATTCCAAACCTATTGTATCTATTAAACCACCTACATTTGATGGGTCAGAAGATTTTGGGGATTATCTTGCCCAGTTTGAAATCTTGGTCGATCTACATGGTTGGAATTACAGAGCAAAGTCACTATACCTAGCTAGCAGTTTAGCGGGAGGGGCTCGTGCACTTTTAAGTGAACTTAACGAAGTTCAGCGCAGAGATTATGATTCCCTAGTCAAGATTCTTGATAGACGTTATGGTTCAGTTGAACGATCTGAAATGTTCAGAGCTAAGTTAAAGACAAAAACAAAGGGTGACAAAGAATCTTTATCTGAGCTTGCACAATCTATCAAGAGACTTACTAGGCAAGCATATCCTACTGCTGATTCAAACTTGACAAATGTTCTATCATTAGATCACTTCATTGATGCACTTCCCGATCCGGATATGCGCCTTCGCTTGAGAGAAAGTAGACCCAGAGACATTAATGAGGCTGAGATATTGGCTATAAGACTTGAAACCCACAAACTGGCTGATGCACAGAGGGTAAAAGTTGTCAATGCCATACATCCAGAAATGGACACCAATCTCCTCGCCTCAATCAAACAAGAAAATAGGGTCTTGAGAGATGATCTCCAATCACTTACAAAAGAGATTAGATCACTCCTTAAAGATGGTCTTCATTCAAGACCTAACTTTTCTCATTCAAGCGAGGTGCATACCCGGTTCAGGAATGCACAATATGATCAACAGAGCAATCAGTTTCATAGGCAGCCATACAATGCAAACAATTTTGAGAAAAGAAACGCTTACCAAAATAGACAATATCACAATGGTCACTTCCAATCCTCAAATCAGGGAAACTTTCCCGTGTCGAATTCAGGGGGCGGAAGTCGACAAAGCGCAGGGGTAGGCCCCAATCACTGTTAAACAAAGTTGAAACAAGAGGACCTCTTCCTGCTGGAAGAAGTGAGTGTATTAAAAAGAGTCCTCAAAATACAGTTAATGTAACTGAGAATGAAAATATGATGAACAATAAACCAAAAAATGATATTGAGAAAATTGTTATGTGTGAAAATGCACCTAAAAATGAGAGAGTAGGTGATGTAAAGGGATGTGGTGAAGCAATTTTTGTAGTAGGCAAAATTGAGAACACTCCGACTACAATGATGGTCGACACAGGAGCTAGTGTAACAATTATTAGCTCAGATTTTGCAGACAGTTCAGAGTTGAAGGGGAAATTAGATTTGAACCCTTCATTTGTAAATCTAACCTCTGTTAGTGGGGAGAAAATAGCTGTCCTAGGGGAATGCCTAGTGGAAATATGTGTGGGAGATGTTACTGTGAATCATAATGTTTTAGTGGCTAATATCCAAAACGAATGTATTTTGGGTTTAGATTTCATGAAAGACCACAACTGTGATGTTCTGTTGAACAAAATGAAACTTAGAATAAAGGGGATAGATGTTTCTTGCTTTACACATGAAACTTTAAATAAGCAATGTTGTAAGGTATTTTTGACGGAAACTATAGAGATTCCCCCTCTCAGTGAATTTATTGCCCCGGCTAAAGTGGAAAACCCATTATTTAATGACAAGGTTACTTTGTTAAAGCCTGTGGCAAAGTCTTTAGATAAACATGGTGTATTAGTTCCCAAGATTTTGGCAAAAGTTGAAAATGATAGAGTACCTGTTCGATACATGAACTTAGGTGATAAGAGTGTTAAAATTTTCAAAGGGACTGTTGTGGCAAATTTAGAAGATACTTCAGGGATCAATCAAAGTACTCCCCAATCAATAAATGTTTTGACAAAACAGGAAAAGAAAACAAATGAAAATTTTCCTGAACATTTGAAGTCTGTGTTTGAGAATTCTTGTAAAAATATTGATCAAGAACAACAGCAAAAATTAAGAGAATTGCTAAAAGAATTTCAGAGTAGTTTCTCAATTAAATTTTCTGATATGGCTAGACCCTTGCACAAACTGACTGAACAAAGTCATAAATTTGTTTGGGGTGAAGACTGTCACAAATCTTTTGACAAGCTAAAGCGTGCCCTAACAAGTTCACCTATTTTATCTGACAGGGACTATGGGCAAGGAGGTAAACTACCTTGTTAGTTTAACTTTAGATCCTAACACAAAGAGCTTAAAAATACCTGAAAACTGTTCTGTCACAACCAGATCTTGTGGTAAATCTGCTCTGCCCTTTTGATATCCCTACAAAACAAACTGAAAATGTAACAAACAATGAAACTGATGGTGAGAATAAACCAACATGGTTTTGAAGTAGCTAGACAATATGAATATTTGACATTTGCTGATTTTTCGTATGAAATTTTAATTGTTTTCTTGAACATTCTCGCAAAAATGAGAAGAGATTATTTATGTTGAGTTTTTATACTGTCGATGATCTGTGAATATTTGATCTATAATATCTAATTGTATTCATGCACTTACTTCATGCATTCTATGCATCAAGCAGTCATATTATGAATCTTATTACAATGATTGATTGATATTGATATTATGCATAAGTGAAATATTGTTCAACTTACCTTTACTTACCTTTGATTTTTCTCTTGGTACATCGCTACATGTCATGTTGTTGAGGGTACCTCAGATAATGGGAATCCTAAAAAATATGGATCAGCAATGAAACAGATTGAATCATTTTGACGTATTTATACTTCACAGAATGTTTGACTGATGTCAATTTGAATTTGAATTGTGCAGTTGTTGTTTTCGCACAAATGCTACAAAACAACGCATAAATATATCTGCTTATAGTCAGATCAAATAGAATATATAACGAGCATTCAAATTCTACTTACTGACGGTTGCATTTAGTCCAGTTTTTGCAAGTATTTTGGACGAACTTCGTGAAACATTCAGTGGCGATTCATTTCTCAACTTGAGGATTTGACGTCACGCCTTTTAATAAGTCGTACGAAGACATGTCATGAAATCTACTTTCGTTTTGAAAATACGACGAAGCGTCGTGCTTATTGAATTTGAGCATTGTAATAGATTGAATGTTATGTGATTCTACATATTTGATTTTGTTTAATACAATTTAAAGTTTGCTTATGATAGAGTGAACTTACAGTTTAAATTGGATATCCCGAAGACTATATTTCGAGATAACCAGATAATCGAGATATTGAGGTTTTTGTTCACTGAACATTAATTTAGATTGTTTATTGTTGAATGTTTGTAGACATTCGGGGACGAATGTTAAATAGAGAAGGGGGCCGTGTTACGAATTTGACATTCTCCACTATCGTTATGAATAAGTAAACAAGATGTTTATTGTGATATGAATCGTTAAAATAATGATTCGATGAATGATTGGATGATAAATATATTATAGACATTTATTCTTATATGTACTTGTTATTATTGATTAATGTTATTTGGAATTCATGATGAGCTAGGTGCAAATTGTTCACCTCGTACCGAATTTCCTTCATGTTTTGAGGAATACGCAACGTAAATAAACCATTGACTGCATCATAAATGCTTTTACAGAGTACTAAATGTGCTTACCTTTGATAATTGGGATAATTAATAAATCCATTCACTGATAATTACAGTAAACCTTACAATTACACTCTGCTTTTCATGCTAAGCGGTAAAAGATGTAAACTACATTTTTAACACCTCGGATGCGTATAATAGTTAAACGCATCCGAAGCTTTCCGGCTATTCGAAGTAATGGCGCCAAATCTCATGCAATATACTAGTACGTCATAATGGGTGTAAAGGCTTTATATACGAGCTCCCCGGGCTCTGACGGTCAGACGCCTGCGGTCTCACCCACGGAAAGGTCTACCTGACGGACCAACTCCGAACAAGGCAGTCTCTCCAAGGGTTCTGTTTTAGACAGAGAGACAAATTGACATGATGGATAATTATTAACCTGAATTTGTTAGCAACGTTTGATTGCGTTATTCATTCATTTTACTCAGACACAAAGTTGAATTCATTCAATGTTATTGTTTATTGTTGCACAAGAAGTGACCTGAACTTGATATTTATAATTCCTGACATTATTACTGACAACAAACTAACAAATGCATGGTGCATTGTATTGAGTTTTGTTGAGATGTTAGCATAACTTTTTGTCCCTATACAATTAGTTGTTTGCTGCATCCTTTGAATGTTAACAAATGCTAAACGCATTGTATTGAGATATTAGCATAACTTTTTGTCCCTATACAATTAGTTGTTTGCTATAACCTGACATTTTATATTTATACTCAATAAGTGAAGAAATCACTAGTTCAATCTTTATTCAAGGCCTAAGGATACAAGGTCTATTCATGTTTATTAAGGGGTTTGTTTAAGGGTGGTTTTATAAATTAATATTTTGTTGGAAAGGGTGGTTGTTTGTTTTTATTTCAGGTGAGGACCGCAGAGCCAAAGAAGAGTATTTTTGTATGTTTATTGAATAAAATCTAATAAAATATTAAAAAACAAATTATATCCTGTTGTCTTTCGTTCAACATTCAGATTAAGGAGCCCCACAATGTTACGCCGCTAAACATCTAAAGCCGTAAGTCGTGACACTAAGAAGGGTCCAAATAATTAAACTTTTGTTAGTGCCATTAAAATCTTACCAGAGACGTACTATAAGAGAGGGATCTTGTACGTCTCTGGTTGTACATATATTAAAAAATGTGAATTCGAATTTCCTCTGCTATCCTTTTGCATTTCTTGCACTTCATGAGCAACGCATGTAACTAAGACAAGACTTACTTCAAAACCTGTTTTTATGAACACATTATGCTTATGATTAAGAAAATATATACCTTGAATTCAACGTGTGGAGATACTTTGATACCTATTTTTCTGCATGCTTGTGAAAACATCTTTTTTAATTCGTACCGCTGTTATTTCAATCCGAATAAACTTTGTTCAATCTAATATGTACTTCCGCTTGCAGCTAGAAGGGTGCGTCGATTTACCCAAAAGGACCCAAAAGGAACCCAAAAGGACCCAAAAGGAACCCAAAAGGACCCAAAAGGACCCAAAAGGAAATCAAAAGGACTCGAATTAATATATTATAATACACTGAAAAATAATAATTTGAATTAAATTATGAATATTATATTATAAATTTACCTAAAAATTGGCAAAAACATACATTTATATTGTTGCAACTTTTCTTAAAGAAATAACATACGACTTTTATAACACATCAATCATTAAATCTGGTCAGATATGCTTTGATTTCTTTTAGCTGAATTTAACAAAGTGCACTGTATTATTCTATTTCTCCTTCTGTTTTATTATATCTTATTATATGATATTTGATAAATAAAGAAATAAGTTTATTTAATGACATGTTCTAGGCATATGGTATCGAGGATGGGTGGGGGTGAGGGATGGGGGGGCCTCCCACCTCCACCCAAACACGCACTTTACCCTCAAAAAACTAGTTTTAGTTTTAATAAAATATGAAAGTATTCATTATATATCCATTTAATCTCTTTATTTCAAGTCCTTTTGGGTCGTTCTTAATTTCCTTTTGGGTCCTTTTGGGTTCCTTTTGGGTCCTTTTGGGTTCCTTTTGGGTCCTTTTGGGTTCTTTTGGGTCCTTTTGGGTCCTTTTGGGTAAATCGACGCACCGCAGCTAGAAAGATGTTTTACCATGTAAGATATTTGTTTTGTAGATGTTTTAATGAATAATAGCCATTTTTACTCATATTTTGTATTAGGTTGAACTAATATTACATTATTTTAATGTTTTCTTAAGTCTTTTTAAGATTTAACAATATGTATGTGCTTAAAAAAGCATTTAATGTCATTGTCAGAAGGCCCTATATGATATGCATTAACCAGGTACATCAACCCCGATAAAGGTATATAGCTTGATAAAGCTATATAGCTTTATTAAGGTATTTAAAATACCTTGATCAAGGTATTTTATGTAATGAAAATTCAAAAAAATTCTTTAAAAATTAAATACTGAAAGTCGAGTTCTGAGTTTTTGACAGTGTGTCTATTCGTGCATGAAAAAAACTCTGGTATCAAAAAGAAAGCATAAAATAATGTCTCCTCTTACGACACGTTTTTATACTGATTTGTTTGTGTTTGAGTACTTTACATGCATGGGTGAATTTACTGACAACAACTCAGAGCTCGACTGTCAGTAATTAATTTTTAAAGAATTTTTTTTATTACATAAAATACCTTGATCAAGGTATTTTAGATACCTTGATAAAGCTATATAGCTTTATCAAGCTATATACCTTTATCGGGGTATTGTGCTGGACCTGTTAACAAAGAACAAAAGTTAAAGAAGTGATCATGACAGTACTGTCTGAATTAACTGCTTGATACTTCTGATATTCTTCTTACACAAATTGGGAGAAAGGAAGATAATATTCTGCTTTGAAACAATAGTTCACGTAATGTTTTTAAAGCAAGTTACAAACTAACAAACAAACAAACTAACAAAACTATGAATCATAGGTGCTCAGTTTCAGTATGGTGTATTTGGTATTAATCTCTATGTTGTACGCTACTAGATATACTGATTATAATAAATATTGAAAATCACTGAGATTCATTTTAAATAATCATATATCTTGTACATAAAAAAGAGAGAAGGATTTCTTTTACATAAAAAAGAGAGAGGGATGACAGTCACAGTCTTGGATTCCAGGGGGTGCATTATTTCTCATGTAGTTTTTATAAATATTGTTATTATCTTAACAGAAAGTGTCAGGTGAAATCTAGCAGTAAGCTGGAATAGATTACCTCCTTTCTATACTCTGCAGATTGGCACATGCCATATAAAACAGTGTACTGATCAGAACATCTTTGATGCATAAAACTGATGACTGAAATTGAAAGCAACTGATTAATGATTTATTAAAGTCCACTCCAGAGAAGGCTGATGCCCTGCCAAGTTTGTTCTCTCTAGACTTTATGTGTGACACCTCTCCATGTTACATAAAAAAATTAAATACATTCTTCATCTCCAGAAACATCTCCATCTTCATTTCCAGCCTGTGTCAATTCCTTTGTAGTTGTACTTGTTTGTAAATAATTTTGGTATTTACGTACATGTTATTTTATAAATTGTAGGTATCATTAGAACACGAAATTCTTCTTCATCCAAGATATTTTGGTCCCAATTTACTCAACATTGTAAAACAGAAACTGTTTACAGAGGTTGAGGGAACCTGCACTGGCAAGTAAGTTGTTACTGATTAAAGTAAAATATTAATAGAAATAGTAATTCCCATTTAAATTACAAAAGACACTTCATTTTTCACAGGATTCAAAAATCACAAGATTCAAAAATAATTAGAATTCCAAACTCTTAAATGAAAGATTAAGCAATTGTATTGATTAAGTTATATTTTGATGGAAATACATTATACAATTATTATGCAAATGAAATCATCTACATCTTAATGTTATTGTCTTACAAAAAATTGAACACTTTGACTTTGTTTTACAGATATGGTTTTGTTATAGCAGTAACAACTATTGATAACATTGGAGCAGGGACAATACAGCCCAGTCGAGGATTTGTGGTGTACCCAGTCAAATACAAAGCCATTGTGTTCAGACCGTTTAAAGGAGAGGTTCTTGATGCTGTGGTAACACAAGTTAATAAGGTACCAGTATTATACATGACAAGGATAGTTTTAAAAAGAATGTGTTAACTAAGGAAAATAATTCAGAAAAAATTCTAAAGTTCTCTTATTTAATAAATCTTGAAAGAAAAAATATGTTTAATTATCTCTTTCTGTCTCTCTCTTTTTAGGTCACCTGAGTAAACTCAGTTGACCTATTGCTATCCGTTTTCGTCCGTCGTCGTTCGTTGTGCATCGTGCGTTAACATTTGAACATTTTCACTTCTTCTCTGCAACCACTGAACTAATTTCAACCAAATTTGGCACAAAGCATCTATGGGTGAAGGAACAAAATTTGTGAATTTCATGATCCCTGCCCCCCTGGGGCCTGAGGGGTGGGGCCAAAACCACTAAAATTAATGCAATCTTTAAAAATCTTCTTCTTTACTCCTGGACATCAAGCAGTCAAACTGTTTGCATGATTGTAATCAGCATTGAGTCCTCTACCAAAATTATGAAATTCATGGCCCTAGGGTCAGGGGTTCTAGTGCTAGGGCAGGGCTAAATAAGTATATAGTGAAAATGCATTATTTCTTTGAAAATCTTCTTCTCTGCTCCTGGGTATTAAATAAACCAACTAAGTACATGGTTATGATGAGCAAGAATGCCTCTACCAAAATTGTGAATTTTATGGCCCCAGGGTCAGGAGTTCTGGTGTTAGGGCTGGGCTCTATTGATTATTTAGTGAAAATGCATGAATTCTTTGAAAATCTTCTTCTCTGCTCCTAGGTATTAAATAAACTAAGTACATAGTTATGATGAGCAAGAATGCCTCTTCCAAAATTATGAATTTCATGGCCCCAGTGTCGGGGTTCTGGTTTTAGGACGGGGCTCCATTGATTATATAGTGAAAATAGATTAAATCTTTGAAAATTTTCTTCTCTGATCCTGGGTATTAAGCAGATGAACTACCTATATAGTTATGATGAGCAAGGGCCATAATCTTCCAGAATTGTGCATTTCAAGGCCCCAGGGTGAGGGGTACCATAGAGGGGGGGGGGGGGCTGTACTTATATACTGAAAATGAATGAATTGTTTGAAATCTGCTTCTTGGTATTAATCAAATATTTTTGAAAAGCAAGGATGCCTTTTCAAAAATTGTGCAATGAGTGGATCTAGGCCTAAGGGTCAGGGGTTCATGTGTGGTAGGGGCACTACTGATTATTGCTGAATATTACTGATTAGTTGAAATGCATTTTTTATTCCCCTACCTTGCCTATGGGTATGAAGTAACTAAACTAAGCAACTGCTAAGTGTATACATGTAGTTATGATGATCAACGGTGCCTCTTTCAAAATTGTGAATGCCATAGATCTGGCTTAAAACATGAATCAAATTCAATCACTGGAAAGTTGTTGCATAATGCTCAGGTGACCTATAAGGCCCATGGGCCTCTTGTTATCATACATATTTATGCCCAAAATTTTAGCATATGTGTATTGCTTATTGCTGCATATTTGAACATCAATAGGTGTACTTTATTTGTCCCTTCAATTTTTATGTGTGCTCTATGTATTACAGGTTGGATTATTCACAGAAATAGGACCCTTATCTTGTTTTGTATCAAGACATGTAAGTTCTTTTAATCATGATTTTTTTTTCTAAATGAAATTTTATTTTTAATAATTCAATAGATGCATCTTTTTTTTTTTTTTTTTGGATTTTCTTGGGGCTTTTCTAAGGAAATGAAAGTATCAATACCTTTTATTATGAACATAAAGTAACCTATTGTAATTTCCATTTTCAAAGTCAATACCAGCTAACATGGAGTTTGACCCAAATTCAAATCCACCTTGCTACAAAAACAAAGAGGAGGTAAGTAAAACAAAAGTACAGGTATTTACAAAGTATGTATTATGACGACCTATAGTTTATTAATCCATCCCATTCTTTTGGATGAGACTATATAAATCAAACACATTCCCAGTAGATGCTGGCACAAAAATGATTCCTTGCTGCTCATTGACGATAAGTGCAGGTTATAAGTTAAAATTTGCCATCATCCACCAATAACTGAAGGCTTCTCAATTTGATTAAAGTGCTGAAAGGGACAAACAGCAGAAGAATAAACCCATTAACATCACTGCATGTGTGTGAATAAGTTTTAAAAAATAAGTTGAAAAAAGTCAAGTTTCGGCATCTTACTCTGAGAAACTGTCATACACGTATTGAAAAAGTCTTTAATGACATGGAACACAGATGGAATATTTCAAAGGCCATCAATAGGATGTTGAATAAGTGAACAAGTTATTAAACTTGGAAACTGAACCAATGAAAGAAAAACCATTCGCCATATAAATTATATTTAAAAGCAATGATTTTTTTTAACAAGTAAATCATTTATAATGAGAAATTTTGTAATTTTCTTTCTAGGATGAGGTCATTCAACAAGATGATGAAATCAGACTCAAAATAGTGGGAACAAGAGTTGATGCTAAAGATATAGTAAGAAGAACTACATTGCTATTTGCTAATATTTGTAAACTTCAGTTGTGGCGACTTTATATATATGTACATGCTTATGAGGACCCTGCTTTGCAGGTGTCCCATCGTTACCACTCTGTCCCTCTTCTTTCTTATCTGCTTGTCTGTCCAACTTATTTTATCTGTCCAGAGCATATTTTTCTCTCACCTTGGTCTAGGCAGACTAATACTTCACCAATAAAGTGCTCATATGTGCTGTGACCTAGATCTGATTTGCTATTATAGAAATTATATCCAGGGTCAATGTCAGAAACCCCTTTTGGGTAAAATCCATACCCAGTGCATATTTTCTCTTTTGTTGTTCCTACCAATAGTGTGACAATTTGTCAAAATTATCATGAGACTTTTACCCAATTTTCTGGATCTTTGGTCAAGGAAAAAACAAATCTTTTTCTTAAATCCTTGTCTGGAGTATATTCAGTATTTTTTCTTCCCTGGACCTAATTTTGATTTCTTTTCATCAATCTGATTAAAATCAGATCCTTTGATCCGCTCACATAGATCGCTACACAAGGATCTGAAGAAACCCCATTCAGGGTCATCTCCTGGTGACCTTTCTACTAAAAATATTAATGAAAATTTTGACCAATCAGAGAGGTCGTACTTAAGCGACATTCAGGAAAACAAAATTAGAAGTGAAAGTAGCTGCAGAGAAGATCTTATCGTTTCGTACAAAACAAAGAGCTAAAAAACAAGACAAAAGCACGTACTTATTATATTACTGTACAGAAAAGACTGTGGCCTTTCTCTTGACAGGCTACAGAAACTAGGTCACGATTTTTCCATTCTTGTATCATCGGGCCTTTCCCCTCTGTGACTGAATTCCGAGATACTTTCCAATTCTCCAAAGTAAATATTTGATTGGATAATTCAAAGGTCACCAGGAGATGACCCCGAATGGGGTTTCTTTAGATCCTTGTGTAGCGATCTATGTGAGCGGATCAAAGGATCTGATTTTAATCAGATTGTCTTTTCACTAATTTAAAAGTGCTTTAGGGAAGAGGATGTGTTGACCTTTAACCAATTCTCTGGATCATAGTTTAAGGTGAAGGAAAAAAATCCTTTGTCTGGGGCACACTTCCTCCCTCCTTGGTCCTGTCTTGCTCAAACTTCACATATAAAGTGCTCATAGATAGAGGATGTTTAATAACCTTGGCCAATTTGTTAATTTGTCCATGTTTTAAATCTGTTCTTTTTTCTCTCATTCCTTGATTCTTTCTTGGCTAGAACAGTCCACAAATTGTCCTGGAGTAGAGAAACTAGTGACCTCTAACCAGTTCATTAAAATCCATTGTAAATATAATCTCTTTTAATCCTTGTCTGAAGCTTATAATTTTTTGTCCTGTAGCCCTGTCTGGTTCATGTTTTATCCATAAAGTGCTCAAACTTCATTGTGGGTAAACATTGACTTTGAACCCAATGTTATAGATTCAGGGTCAAGATTATAGCACATCTCTGTCATGAGCTTATTTTTTCATTAGTTCCCACCCCATCAGTGCCCATAGATAAAGATGTAACATCATGTAAGTCAAGATCAAGCCCAAAATACATTTTTCGTAAAAGTCAATTTCATCATAATGACCCCTTGCATTACCATGTATTAGTACAAGGTAATACCATGTATTATTACCATGTACCAATACATTTTTTTTTGCCTAGTGAGAGAGAGAGAGAGAGAGAGAGGGGGGGGGGGTAATACGTTTTCTGAGATTATATATTTGTACATCTTACTTATATATATTGAATAGATAGATTCTCACAAATTTACTTTCTTTCAGTCACCTTCTCTATTATACTTTTTAAAAGAGAATGGTAAAAATATTCTCCTTGTTTTTATATATCTTGTACATACCCTGGTATGAATAATGTTTCATTTGATATTGGATTCATCTTTGGCTGTGTTGACTATTTTGTACCGTTTTTATTAAAGATCTAGATCTTTTGAAAATAACATATCATGTAACTCTTTATTTTAAAGCCCACCCGCATCCCACCCAAAAAAGTTATTCAAATTCTTAAAAAAAATCTTTATACTCTTCGGAAATGATACAAATCCATTCAATTTAAGGCTTCCGTAGTTATGAAATGTGTAGGTTTTTGTGTGTGTGTGTGTGTGTGTGTGTGTGGGTGTGGGTGTGTGTGTGTGTTGTTTTGTTCGGACTGGGGGTAAACTTTTTTATTATAAAGGACGTAAAATAAAGATAGTATTTACTATAACCTTAGATTTTTCAATCAAATCTCTTTGCTTGAGAGTATTATGGGGGGGGGGGGGGGGGTAAGGACAACTCTGTTTTTCAAAAATTGTGGATCTTTTTATAATGCTGGTATTCTCGTGGGCATCAAGTTCTGATTTCTGATAAAATGATTAAAAATACATAAATGTAAGATATGTTAGCACAATTTTATGTTAAATTTTTGTGCTTTAAAAAAAGAAATTGGTTCCTCCATGGGTATCATTTTTAATCTTTGTATTATGTATTTTTCAGTTTGCAATTGGAACCTTAATGGATGATTATTTAGGTGAGTACTTTCTCTCTCTTATTGCTATTAAGAGATTTTTTTCTTTTTACCATATATAGAAATTTGTAATTTATTTTTAGCAAGAGGTAATTTTAGTGATTTTAAAATGCTAAACTAAAGAAAGTATTACAAATAAAATGCAATTAATTTTCAGTGATCTCAGGACTTTCACTAATAATGCCAAAATTAAATACTTGCTAAAATTCTACTTATACGGTATATACATGTATTAATGTTATTATTGCTAAAAAAAAATAACAGATAGATAGGCAAACATAAAAAAACATTTTTCCTTATTATTTGTGGGTTCTCCCCAAAAAATGCATTTTTTCCCATTGAAATTCTTATAAATACATTGTAAAGATAAAACACTATGTACCAGAATTAAAACATGTACATGTACTTAAAATATGGTTTTCTATTTACAGGATTGTAAGCTGTACAGGAAGACAGACTTTTATTCATTATCATTGTCATAATGTCATTGTAAATAGGATTCACTCATTAAACTTTAAAAACAGAAATATTTTCACTCATTATTTTAGAAGAAATGAAAACATATGAGAGGAACGATATGCTTAGTAACTGCTCTCATGCAATGGAACAAAGATAAAGGATGAAAATATAAATGTGTTTTCATTTCTTGATTTCAAAAGGTATGATTTCCTAGTTAGACTCAAGAGCCATTCCAGTTTCTGAAACTTTCTTTTCATTTTATCTTCTATGGTTTTGATCTTATTTCAGTAAAACATGGTACAATTACATCAAGATACACACTAACATATTTTTTTTAAAAATTTATAATAATGATAATTGTTTAACTAGATTTACTAGATATATTAAATGTGATGTATTTTTGCATGATGTTCTTTCTCTACCCCACCCCCGAAAACGAACCCCCTATCCCCCACCCGAAAAAAAAACATACAGGGGAATGTTTACATAACATACCGTTTTTAAAGAGGATCAGTTTTGTAACTTTACTGTTTAATAACTTCACAAACTTAAAACTAGAAGTCTCTGTCGAGACTGTAGCTCTACTAGTTTGTACTTACCGGTATAATAAAGAAAAGAAAAGTAACAGTTGGGACTTAAAAACTTTACAAAAGCAATAAATAGAATAATGATCCTTGATTAAGTCTCTTTTTGAGGCAAGATTGCAATAAGGCTACAGCTGTAGGAGTAGTTTTTAATAAGTTTTTACTGAATTTTCAATTTAAATTACTATGGAAACATAAATCATTAAAATCAAAAACACAAAACTGTTAATTATGTACAGTGGGGCCTCATTTATCCGGACGCTTTGATTCCTAGTCAATTTGTCCGGATATCTGAATTACCAGTTAAACAAGACAAAATAACATTAAAAAATTCTGTTCCGATGAAAAGTCGTCCTGATACTGAAACATCCGGATATCTGAAGGTCCACTGTATCTCAGTGTACTTGCATGCCAAATTATATTATAATCAGACTCAAACTGTTTTTGGAGTAGCATTTTAAAAGTATTTCACAGATATTTCTAATTTTAGTAACCAAGGCAACACCATTAATTGAAAACCGATACACAGAATTATGTATCTTCGTGTAGTCTACTTGTGTGCCAAGTTATATTGAAATCAGACCAAAACTGTAGGAGGAGTAAAATTTTGAAAGATTTTCACAGAAATTTCTATTTTAAGTAACAACGGCAACACCGTTCATTGAAATCAAAAACCGATACACAGAATTATGTATCTTAGTGTAGTCTACCTGTGTGCCAAGTTATATTGAATTCAGATCAAAACTGTAGGAGGAGTAGCATTTTGAATGTATTTCAAAAAATTTCTACTTTTAATAACAACGGCAACACCGTTCATCGAAATCAAAAAACCGATACAGAGAATTATGTACCTGAGTGTAATCTACTTGTGTGCCAAGTTATGTTGAAATCAGACCAAAACTGTAGGAGGAGTAGCATTTAGAAAAATTGTTTATAGACAGACGGACGGACGCCGGACGCATCACTATCGCATAAGCTCTTCTCTGACCAGTAGAGCTAAAAATCCAGAAACGTGCATGCCACTATCTCGTATTAACAGAATATAATTACCGTCAAAATTAAGAGAAAAGATTTCGTAAATTACGACAAATATTTCAAGTAAATAAAAAGAAAATAAATACGTGTATAACGAATTTTTTTTTTGAACTTAACGTTTTTTTCGCAATTATGTGGAAATGTGTCTATTGAAGACAATGCATCTTGAGGCTACGGAAGCGTATTAGGGCCGCAGCAGTATCTTTTTTTAATTTGTTTATTAGACATTTGTTATAACAAATTAGTAATTTGTTTAAACAAATTAGTAATTTGTTATAACAAATTAATAATCTGTTAAATCAAATTAATTATCTGTTATATCAAATTAATAATCTGTTATATCAAATTAGTAATTTGTTATCAAATTAATTATCTGTTATATCAAATTAATAATCTGTTAGATCAAATTAGTAATTTGTTAGATCAAATTAGTAATTTGTTTTAACAAATTATAATTTGTTTTAACGAATTATTAATTTGTTTTAACAAATTATTAATTTGTTTTAACGAATTATTAATTTGTTATAACAAATTAATTACTTGTTTAAACAAATTAATAATTTGTTTTAACAAATTATTAATTTGCTATAACAAATTACTAATTTGTTTCAACAAATTACTAATTTGTTAAAACAAATTAAAAAAGATACTGCTGCGGCCCTAATACGCTTCGTATGAGGCTCACAATGTCAAGGTTTTGTGATTTCGGAACTCTGTTCAAACGTGTTTTTTCTTATCTTTATTTATATGTCTGTCTAAATATACAAGTTAATTATGATTTTTAAAAAAATGGAATTCGCTAAAATTTATAATTATCTTTCTTAAAATGCACCGGTACTATATAATAATGTACGTGTACATAAGAAAAGTGTTCTTTTTATGTCATTGAAAAAGTATTTTAAGAAAATTTAATTTTCAGCAATTTTGATATCTTTCCTTGCCAAGGATTTCTGATACACTACTCTCCTCATAAGCTGAAAACAGCTCACGTATCCCCCCCTTTGACTGAATGTTCAATGAATCTTTCATCTGTCCAATACAGGTTACCTACCGATCGCATCATCTCGGGTCTTTCTCTTTTTCACTTTTTTTGCAAAGATAGACATCATATAGGTAACAAACATTGGGTCGTAGGTTTAGCTCACCCCCACTTTCAACAGGTACATTGCAGTGGGTAAGTGGTAGTGATTGACAGAAAAAATTGGTACGACCCCCCCCCCCCCGTATTGGATTTTCGTGTTAGGACAATAGAAAAATATCCTTTTTTGTGCTTGTCAAGTTTTTTCAGGTTCGAATTTTTTTCTATTTTACTTATAGCCTCCCCCCTCCTTTCAATATTTGCTTCTAACGCCAATGTAAGAAATCCTCTCTTTTAATTTTTTCAGGATTTCTTTAATGTTATTAATTAAATAATTTTCATATAGATCCATTTTCTTGCATAAGTACAGTGTGTTACATTTGAAAACCATGAAGTGCATTACAAATGTCCATTATTATACACTTTTGTTACACTCCGTAAAATTGTTACGTCACAATGACATGACAATACTCCACGTCATAAAACATCACAACCTTAGCGACTTTGTTTAGAACTCAAAAGGTTTCGTTTGTGAGAAGTTTGTGTAAGTCAACATTATGTTGGAAAGTTACAGAAAGACCGTGGTAAGTAATATTACATGTATCTACGTTTACCGTGTACTCTGCATTTGATATATTGACAAGTATGACATTCTTAATGTCAAGATGTAGTAAATGACTTTTTAGACTAACTTTTTGGTGCTAGATTTATTATGACGTCATAATCAATTTCAACTTTCCTTTTCCCGTACTTTTCGGCTTGAGCAGAATTACGTAAAAAAATAGGGTATTCTCATGACATTCAATTTGAAATCATATGAAAAGTAATCCCGATACCTATACATGTATTAAAGATATTATTTTTAAGAAGATGCAATGAGCATAAAAATTACCGTTTTCTGAGAGACTGCAGGCAATCTGGATACATAAATTTCCTTTGTCGAATATGAAAAAAACTCCCCTATTCATGACTGCATGGTTTTCTTAATTTTTCATTGAAAATGACAGTTTAAAATATGGTTTTTCATCTTATTTACCTACAAATTATGCCCCACCAAATTTGACCAAGCTAGTTGTAAAGCATTATTAAAGGAATTTATTTCTCAAATTTGATAAATCTGTAGGCATCTTTCATTTACTAGATCTTAGTTAAACTGGAACTACATATTGGGATCAAGGATACCCAAAATGGACTGGTAAAGGAACAAGAGGTCCATGGGCCATAATGCTTACCTGAGATACTTTGGTCCTGCTGTTCTTCACCAGATTTCATTCTTGTCATACTTATTCAAACCCCACTCAACCCCCAGAGGTCCAATCTCCTGTGCAGAATTGTCTTTCGTTCCTTTCTCAGTGATTGTATGAGCCGATGGTAGAGAGTGCCAGGGGGTCATGATATGTTCAATTCAAAATCTACACAAACACAGGATTCCCTAGCTACCCTACACATGGAGGTCATTTTTTGAACAAGCTAGAATCACTACCCAGGGATGCTTCTTTATAAGATTCGGCTATTCTGGCCAAGTGGTTCTTGTGAAGATTTAAATAGATTTTGCCTTTATGTTTCCTGAAGGCCATGACTTGGACAAGTTAGAATCATATAAGTTTCAGCTTTCCTAGTCCAGTGTTTTTGGCGAACAAGATTTTTTAAAGATCCCGCCCTATTTTGAACTCACCTGAGCTGGAAGTTTTTGGAACAAATGTTGTCTGTTTTAAAACTATCTGTATCACAACTATTACATATTCATTTTCTCCTCAAAAACCACTGAACCAATTTTAAACAAAGTCGGTATTCTAGGCTGAAGGGGAGTTTAAACTGTCAAATTGAAGGGCCAATCCCCTTATAATGGGAGATACTAATAATCAAGAAATAAAAAAAAAAAATAGGGCAGGGTCATTAAAAAATCTTTTTCTCAAGAACCCATGGGCTCAAAAATCATAAGGTATATTGCTGCATAAGTAAGGGAAGTTGACGATAGAAAAGTCAAAGTCATCATGTTTATCATAGAGCTTGGTTTTTAGATAAGAAACAGATGTGTCTTTTATCTCAAGCTCACCGGGATATATCATATCGACATAAGAATGGAAATTACCATTGTTAATTGACAATACGTCGTTGATATATTTATATATTGAGCTGAAGGCCACAGCAAGTGTTTTTTTTCTTTTCATACATAATTTGCACAAATTCTGCTTCATGTGAATACAAAAATATAGGTCTGCTAATAACAGAGCGCAGTTGGTACCCATGGGAATTCCAATAGATTGTTGGAAGACCTGTTGCTGGTCTCCAAAAACGACATGATAGATATTGTAAATCAGAAATTCAAGCATTCTTTTTGCTGTCAACTTCAGAGTACTTGTGTGTACGATCAGAATGTTTTTAACAAAAAAAATGCAAATGACCAATGACAAGTTAGGTAAATTTTTGAGTTCCATTTTTATATGTATAGTGTCAAAAAGATAACAGGAAAACAAAAATATTCAAAAAAAATTCTTTTAAGATTAAGGAACCTCAGTCCAAAATGATTCATGCAATGATCATTGATGTAATATCATGCTTGGGGGGGGGGGGGGGGGCTAGGGGTGAAGGGGGTGTCATGTATAGTTGTAAGTTTTGTCTACAGCAATACTTTGTATTTTAGTATCAATTTGATCTTTTTTCAGTTGGTAGACGAAAAATTTATCAAGGTGTACGAAGATGTACTTGCAGAGCTCCTGAAAGTATCAGACATGGTAATAATTATATAATTCACTGTGATTCAAAATTCATACTCTCGCTTGAAAGTTTTGGTGCGTATAGTAACGGAGGTTGAGGGTACCCATCTTTTATCTGCAACTCCTCCATTAGCACTGAATAAAATTTATCGAGACTCTCGCAAAATTTTTAAAACATAAATGCCATTGCAAACCTCTTACTGTATACAAAGTTATTTTTGCCCCATGTTATTTTCGCCCTTTAGTTTTGATAACAAATTTAGCCCCGTTTTAAAGCAGACCAGAAACAGTTTTGTTGAAGACTTAAAGCGGTTAATTTGAATTCGCTGTTTTAAATTCGATTTTTGCAGCTGACTTCTTGGGTATACGGTAGTTCCATTGTGCACCTCCTGTCTTGTGATTTTTATCAAATGGACAGACGATTTGGGTTTCCCATGGCAAAATATGACTTTGAAAGCATATTTTTCAGCAACTTTAATAATGAATATGTAGCCCCCCCCATCCCCAGTGCTCTAAAATATTATGAACATGACAGTATTTTATAAATAGATACCGAAGAATAGTATTTATTCATATTTGAACTTCTAACACATGGAAGAAAAATAACTTTTTTGAAATAATACTGAGTTACATGAAATTGAGCAACTGTATTTTAATTCAAAACATTATCTTTTTCATAATCTAGCTTAAACAAGGGGAGAATGAAGTTAGGCTTTTGGAATCATCCCAGGTTTGTAAATTATTAACAGTAAAACTCACTTTTAGCAAACCTACTTACCGGGTATAATGAATTAACGCTTTCATCAAAGTAATTTCCCCTTAATTTAAATTAAATTGTGAATTAAACAGATTTGACAAATTCTGTTTATAACAAGAAAAAAAATTACCATCCCTAGCACTTTGTTATTATAAGTATTATTTACTGTACATACTTTTTATGAAATCGGCCCAAAATTTAATCGATGTAATCAACAAAGTCTTTTTAAAGAAATCTTGTCTTTCATCTCTTTTTCTAACTTTTAGAACCTTTTCTGGGAAGTTTATGACAAAGAGATGAACACTTTCCCTGAAGACATCAGGGAAAGCCTTCAACAGAAATTGTTTGTAATACTAAAGGTATGTATTATTAACAACAAACACGGAGAACTTAATCAGATAGTCTTGAATTATTGCAAATTCATAACAATGTTATTTTATTGCTATTTAAACGTCATTGTTTTTATTTCACAAAAGTATGGACGAAAACCATTTTCCATCGATCTTCTTCAAGACAGGGCTGTGGTATGTAAAATTATATTCTAATGCAATTGTTTTGTACAACACGTTTTTATTGGCTAATGCAATGATGTTTGAAGCAGTAAAACGAGCATTAACGAAAATGAAAGCTTTTTATTGTGACGTCATAATAGAGCGACGCAAAAACACAGCGCTCCGCGACATATTTCATATAACAAAGCTCAACAAAACAAGATGTAAATAACAAACAAAATGCATAGATTGCAATAGAATGGGAATAACTATCTTCTAATGTGGTATTTGAGACTGTTAAAATCAAGATCTAGTAAACGACTTTAGACTACCTTTTTGCTGCTAGATCCATTATGACGTCATAATCATTTTTCAGCTTTCTTTTCCTATACTTTACGGCTCTTATGCAATAGAAAATGAAGTATTTTCATGGAATTCATTCAATTCCATATGAAATCACATGAAAAGTAGTCCGGATACCTATATTAAATTTGTCATTATTTAAAGAAGAGGCCAAGGACATACAAATTACCGATTTCAGAAAGACTGTAGGCAATATCTGGCTACATTTATTTTGTCTGATATGGAAAAACTCCCATATTCATGATTGGTTTCTAAATTTTTCATTGAAAATGACATTTTAGAATTTGATTTTTCATCTTGTTTACCTACATATTATGCCTCGAAACACCTTCTTTGACCGCGCTAAGGTTATGGAGACCCTTACCAAAATACTCACCTTCTGGCAACATCTTCTGGCATTATTGCCGCAATATTGCAGCAACATTCTGGCAATTCTTTGCAGCAATATTGCGGTAATATCGTTTTTCATATGTAAATTAGATATATTGCCAGAAAAGTGTTGCGGCAATATTGTAGCAACATTCTGGCAGTATATTGCAGCAATATTGCGGCAATATCGCTTTTCGTATGTAAATTAGAAGGGTGTTGCGGCAATATTGCTGCAAATCAATTGCAGTACATGTATTATTACAGGTTTTGCTGCAGCAATATTGGGGCAACACTGCAGTACTACTTATATAAATTGGTATTCAATAGAAAAAATTATCTATCAGTCTAACAATTAACAAATTGTGCTGAGGAACATATATAAAAATCAATAGCATAATAAGCTACAGAGTCAGTAAGAAATAGCTACTTAAGCTTATGCTATTCTTTGAAAAGATTTTGTTGAAAAAAGATGTGTTTTTGAAACAAGTGACAACAAAGTTTGAAAAACCATTTTTAGCATACTAGTATAGGTCACAGTCAAAGTCACAAGATCATTGATCTTGGTGTCATTTGAAAGAACTTAATTAGTGGAATATGCATCCTAAATATGAAGTCTCTATCTCTTATGGTTCAAAATTTATGGTGGAGATTTAAAAAGGCTATTTTTAACATATAGATCACAGTAGAGGTCACAAGGTCATTGACCTTGGTGTCATTTGAAAGAGCATAATTAGTGGAGAATGCATACCAAATACAAGGTTGCGATCTTTCATGGTTCAAAGGTAATGTCGAAGGATCAAAAAATCTATTTTAAGCATATTGGTCACAGCCAAGGTTCTTGTTTTATCATTTTAAAGACCTAAATTAGTTGAATGTTTGTTTGCGTGTGCCGATTTAACTTTGCACATTTTAGGAATGTTCCAGGGTCTGCCACTCATCAGAGGTCCAACCCAAATTAAGTTATCATATTTTAGTTGTATATCTCTGGCATGGTGGTGTTTCATGCAATAATATTTGTAGTGGACATGTATTCTGTTACTGTTCCAAATTAAGCTTTGTGAATAAAAAGCTTTATGTTTTGGATATGTCAAAATAAGCAATATCAAGGAGAATTAATATTCTCTGGAAAATTGTTTGCTCGTCTTGTTTTGTGGTACAGAGAATGGCTCTTAAATAGAGCTGCAGTTGAGATTCGTTTTTTGGGCGGGGCGACCGTCTCATAGTCGCGCTGGAAGAGTTAATGCACGTGGCACGAGACAGCGCATTGGTTGTTTGTTTGGAGTGTTGGGTAATTGACAGCCACCTGTTCCCTGATATCGCTTTGCATGCTTTTCGCTATCACGGATTGTCTGATTTGTTAATTGATATGCTATCTGTTCGAGTGAGCTCATTTAAGTTTCTATTTCGCTTGTATCCAATGATAGAGGCATAGGAAAAACTCAGAACACTGTTTATCCTTTTGAATTAATTTCCAATGTTTGCAATATTTTCCCCAGTTTTCTGATCAATGTAACAAGCACAGAGGGCAAACTCTATTTTTTAGCAATTCCTGTCTATTAATTGTTTGCGTTTCTGAAACAATACTTCCATCTCTTTTTACCCCCTTGATATAAGTCTTTTTGAACTGTTTAATTGTTTGGTTTTGTGTGGGTATGTTCCTCTTAGAGGATAATTTCCCCCTTAATAAATCCTCTGAAGACATTGGGATGTGCACTGCTGCGATGCAGATACATTGTTTCTGTAGGTTTGATGAAAGTTTCAAAGTCTAAAATCTCTGTCCTTTGTAGACTTTTGTGTCCAGAAACACAGTCTCGTTTAAGTGAATATTGTATGTAAATTTCAATTTGTGCTCCTGATTTGCAAGTTCAAAAAACTGCAAACTTTCTGTGATTGCCATAAACCCGTCATCTCTGTAAAAGTGGGCAGAATTTTGTTTTTATGATTGTATTTTTTGATAATATTTTCAAATTTATAACAATGTTATTTTATACAGGTGTTAAATTCAAATTCATTGTTCTCTAACAGAATTTGTAACAATTTGATATTTCACAAAATCAGTTTGTTTCAATTTTGTGAGTGCTTTTGCTGCAGAAAAGTTCCATTTTCATGGAAGTTACATCATAGGTAACTAGCTTCTTTCAAATGCACAACTTTGCTGATAAAGTGTTTGGTATCTCTGACATATGTGTGTTGTTTTTGTACTAATTATATTGCTAATGTAAGGCGCATTGAGAGATTTTGTACTCATTCCACGCTGCAGGGCCTCGGCCCCTTTGAAGTTTTCAATGTCAGAAATTTTTATGTATTTTAGGTAGTAAGTATAACCTGCCAGGGCGGAATGTAAGGGACTGCGACAGAAATCTGTGAATACTGTAAAATTGATTTGCATTTCACATACAATCTTGTTGATCAGATCGTGTATTTCATGTGTTCTGTCTTTGTGAATTGCGGCGTAATGAATGCCGTCATTTAATTGTCTTAGTCCCTCCGCTGCATAATTTGTGCGGTTCTGAACTACAACAGTAGTAGATTTGTCTGCCTTTTTTATTACAATGTTTGTCTCGTTTCGGAGACTGGTCACGCATTCCGCTCTTTTTTTGTTAAATTATCTCTAAATTTGTGAAAGTGGATTTTACATAGCTCCATTTTGGTTGCATAGAATAATTTTCTAAAGCTGTGCACGTTGTGTTGCCGGGATTATAATTCGTATTGATATATAAGGGATGCAATTGTTTATCATCCTCATTTGTATGAAAGAGTATCTTGCATCTCATTTTCCTGGCTAGTTCATTGAAGCTACAGATCAAATTCTGTCATATTTTGCGTCCCTGGTGTGGGAATAAATCCATTTTCAGCTTCAGACAGAGTATAATCTGAGAGATCATTGTTATTAGTGTTCTCTGACAGGCGTTTAATACGCCTGATATTGCGAGCTTTTCTGTTGTTCGCTCGTCTTATTTTATATTTTTTCTGTTTTTGCGTTTTGGAGAGCCTCCTGCTAGGCATGTTAGCGTAGTGCCGATTTCTGCATTGATTGCTAATTGAACAAGGTATGATCAATTCCCTGGGGGTGAAATTCAATCGCGCAGACTGACATGCGGCTTTATCTAGGGGCACCGGCAGGCATGCGTATACTTTTTAGTTGCAGTATAGATCTGTAAATATCTGCCTGATGCAATAGGTAAAAAGCATGATTATGTTGTTTGTTTTCAAGCTTGTTACGGGACAGAGTATAGGTTCTGTCCAGCAGGATGGGGATATGGTGTATGTTCAAACCCTGAGGTTAAGAGTGACACTGAGAATTCTTGTAGATGTTGCAGTCAGGTTAATTTCTAGTTGGCGCACATTGTGCAATTGTAATTGTAAATTCCCTTGTTTTGGTGATTATATCAATAAACGCCTTTTTATGCACTATATGCCAAACCATACCTATAGTTGAAGATGGAGATAGACTGTGACTGTTAACTATTTTTTGTACATATATTTTAATATGTTAAGGTTTTCATTACAAAATATGTTTGTTTTAAGTTTATAAGCTCAATGTACAATAAACGTTTCTTCTTTAAATGGTTCATAAGTTTGATATGGCGGTAGATCTTATATGTATAAGCAGTCCAACAATATCAATTTCCCGTGTATATACACGTAAGATATGGCGTTCAACCATCACAATTGATTATATGACAGGTAACTAATCATGTCACTTATGAGTTGGATCTTGTAGCATATTGGTCAATTTCCTTAGTTCTTGGATAATAGACGGTTGGGCGGTCCTGGATATTCTCTGAGCATTGTCACGTCCTCTAGAAATGGTCTAGGCTGGCTGGTCCTTGGGCGTTATGTCTAGCGGGTGCACGCATTTTGTATTGATTTATCTTCTCAGTCCACTTTTGTTTGAGAACTTCCAGGTCAGAAAAGAATTTGGCCCGGTGAGTGCCCGCTTCACGATCATTTATCGTTAATTTGTTTTTGGTCTCGGTTACTTTTTCCTTGATTTCCTCGTTTTTTTCGCGGATGATATGTGCACATTTTTCTTGTAGTGTGGTTATGAGTTTGAGCCCCTTCTGATGGAGGTCTTTGATGATGCCCTTAAATATTTCCTGGCTAACTTCATCACAGCTTGCTGTAAAGTTTATCTGAAAGCTGAGGAAGGCGGGTAGATTTGGATTTTCCGCACCGGTGTCCACCTGGTCGATGCAATGTTTGATGGTGGCGATTCTGTGTCTTTTAAACATAAGAGTGTCAACTTCCTTGATGGTGCTCTCCACCATTTTTTGGTATTCTTCACTTTTACTCGCTGATGCGACGAGTGTTGTTTCGTTTAGGTCCAGATCAGGATCACTATCGTACATGTATATGGTGTGTCCTTTTGTTTTTGGCCCGGTGTAGGGTAGCTGTGCGTCAAAAAATTGTCATCTCCATGTCATTGTTATCCATGTTTGCCATATTCCAATGTAGCAATGGAGGGATAAAACTGCTTTTGGTGGATTTACGGAGACCTGTGGACTTTTGTTGTGTATTCAGAATTCTTAATGACACTTGGATCTTATAAAAAGTGTTTTTGTAGTTTTGTGGGGGGTACGTCCTAATTAAGCGTAATTCCCCGCTATTGAAATGTGACCGAGCTGCATATAGGTGTTGAGTTTGATTTATTAGCATCCATGTGAAATTGTGAATTTCAATTTCCGCTGAGATCAAGGGAAGTGGGGGATTGGTGTGAGTTACAAAGTTGACAGCCTGAGAATTGGCTGTATGAGGTTTTTGTATCCCTTGCAGGTGTTTGTGGATGGTGGACTTTGGTTTAATTTATAGATGACAGGCGCAGTGTTTGATTGCAAGACAATACTCTATCGTATATATTGATTGTGTATTGTATATTTCGCTGTCCTCTGTGTTAAACTTAGTTTGGTTCTGGCAGATCTATAGTGGGATCTGGCGCAAGTATTTTACTTTATTAGAGGAGTTCATGTAATAAATGATATTTTGCTATTTTGATTTAGAAAGTTCAGTTTGTTAAAGAAGTTTTAAAATATAGTGTGTGCCCGGAACACCAATAATGGTGACACGTGCCTCAACCGACATAGCACACGGATCTGGATTTTTACACGGGAGGGTGGCAAGGGGTACGAGGTACCAAGATCACAGTGTAAAATAAAGTTGCCACCCGGCACCACGTGTGCCGACAAGGGACCTCACCGAATCGGTGTTTCGGGCACATTTTAGGAATGTTCAGGGTCTGCCACTCATCAGAGGTCCAACCCAAATTAAGTTATCATATTTTAGTTGTATATCTCTGGCATGGTGGTGTTTCATGCAATAATATTTGTAGTGGACATGTATTCTGTTACTGTTCCACTAATTAAGCTTTGTGAATAAAAAGCTTTATGTTTTGGATATGTCAATGAATAAGACAATATCAAGGAGAATTAATATTCTCTGTGGTGCGATAAAAATCTATAAATCCGGGCACATAATAAAATGTGTATATAAAAATATTAATATGCCACTGCATGTGAAAATGTCCAGCAACTCTGCATCAATTTTCAAATAACCTTAATTAGCTGCCCATCACATATTCCCCAATGCCAATTAATCAGTATTATGTAAAATATATAGCTTGTTTGTAATTTCCAACATATACAGAATCATTATTTTCTTGCAGGTATTCAGATTTATGCAATAAATTAATTATACGAGGGGTTATCAAAAAGTTCGTGGACTGCCACAATAAAATTAAATCCGCTTTAGGTATAGTAGTGAATTTTAAAACATTTAGTTAGCATCATCTTTTCTATCTATAGAAGAAACCATAAATCATAGATTTTCTTTTTAACAAAATTAATAATGTTTTTGTAAGCAATGGTTTGTCTAGGCGGCGCAACCTCGAAAATGACGTTTTTTCGCCCTCGGTATTACTGAGGAAAACTCCTTTATAATGAAGGTTTGTGAAGGGACGTTTTTAGTCCGTAAAATTTGCAATTTTTACATCATTCGGTAAGTTCTATTAGATTTTATCGTACATTTTGTATGGAGTGTCCAAACAATTAAGGGCTTTAAAATGACGTCAAAAGGGGGGAGGGGGTTCTTTTTCCAACATATTATAAAGTTTTGCGCCTGAAAAAAAAACTGTTATACACCTAGAAAATGTTAAATCTGGCTATAGGAAAATAAAATGCATCCACAGGACTTGTTTTTAATGCCAAAATAGATTCCGAGAGAAAAGGAATGAACAGTTAATTTCAATTTGTGCTCAAGGTATGAAAAGTCAATCATGTCAAAAAATGACGTTGGTTATATTTGTGGTAGATATTGAACTCAAAAAGCAGACTGTGCTGGCACAATCAAGCAAGAAACTCTCCCAATGTATAAATCCATATGCAATATTATATGCATTGAAAGCAGCCTTTCATGTCATACAAACAAGACGGGTTTAAGTCCTTATTCAACTCCAGGAAACTTCATCAAGAAAAGTGTATGGGGTAGAAGAATCGGACTTTGAAAAATATGACGTTTTAGGACGTCATAAAAATAAACGACGACAGCGCCGGGTGATCATATAACGTCAATTTTATTTTATAATAATTTGGCAAATAATGAACGTATGAAGCTTAAAATTCCAAAATCTCTTTATTTTTTATTGTTTTATGTTCCTCATAAATTTTGAAAGCACAGACCACGTAGTATTGATTTTATCGCCTCAGTCCACGAACTTTTTGATAACCCCTCGTATATGTTCGTGCATTTAATTGATAACATGCATTCATCTTTTCCTGCAACAGTGGTATGATATATATAGACATATATATAGACATACAAGTATAGTATACATGCATCACATGCATCACAAACACTAGTTGAAATACATATAATTTTTCTTATTTTATCTCCATAGAATCATTCATCTAAAAAAGAATATGGTTTTGATTTACCAAGTTTGATATATATAACATGAAAACAGAGTTAGACATTCCTATAATTCTTTCAAAAGGACATGCCATGGAAACTGCTGAAATTCTTTTTTTCTGGTTATTCCACATTATTCAGTCTTACTAGTTATCATGTCTAATCCTATTGTACACAATTAACAACTCCAATTAACTTGATACCATTCAATAATGAAGCAAACATGCTTGCCTTTGAATTCCCTCCATTTTATTTAAAAAGAGGAAGTAAATGACTGAGCATGCTCACAACTGCCTATCGGGTAATCCTATATTTTCTGGCGACATTCTGGCAATACTGCCAGAAAGTTTTTTTTCGGCGGTATTGCCAGAATGTTACCAGAAGTTGTTTCCGCTAGCGGTGATATTTCACTAACCCAAAAAGCTTGTTTCTGGTGACAAAAATGTGTTGCTGCAATGTTGCCGCAATATAGCGGCAATATTGCTGCAATAATTTTACTTTGGTAAGGGGAATCATTAAAGGAATTTATTTCTTAAATTTGATATTTCCTTTAGGCATCTTTCATTTACTAGATCTTGATCTTAAAGCTGATTTAACGGTCGCAAACATCCGTTTTACCGGATCCGCTTATGTGTCACCGGTAAAACTCGGTTTGCAACCGTTAAATCAGCAATAACGGTCGCAAAAACCAAAGTAGAAGATAGTTATTCCCAAATTATTACAATCAGTTGAATATAATTAAAAATTAATAATGCTTTAAAATTTTATTACACTACACACAGAATCAATCAGTTAAGGTTAACCGCTCTTCTGATAAGGGAGATGACTCTTAGATTTTTTTAAAAAACAATTCTAAATCAAATTGTTATAATGTTTTTTTCGTCAAAGTTTGCCTTGCAAATTTTAAACCTGAGAAAATAATTGATAATTTTCAAAGTTATGAATTAGATTTCTTTTAAACACATGAAAAAGAAAGCATTTCTTAATGTGTAAGTAATGGAATGATGACCCTTTGATTTTACTTAAAATATTACTGAGTCACAGTGTGTCTTATTTGGTTTAATGAATTTATATGATATCTTCTTGGGTAGATTCTTTTTGCAAGAGTTAAGTATCACTTCAAGAAAGAGCTCCTAAAACATCCGGATATAAGGCAGTTCCTCATAGAGAAAATGTTGGTGAGTATGAGGATTGAGAACAGAAAACTACATGAAATACTAGTACTTAAAAAAATTACAATAAAGTATCAGACTGAGTGTTTATATTCTTAACAGAAAGCTATTTAAAGTACTGGTACTTAAAATTACCATAAAGTATCTGTTAATCTCCATAACAGAAAGCCTATATAAAGTACCTAAAATTTCTGTAAACCATCTAATCTTTCAGATATAACTTTATTTATGTTATAAATTCATTTTGATGTACATTTAATTGTCACCACATTTTTTTTTATTTTAACAGAGAGATGAAGTCTTCTACAAGAGAAAAGAAGTGAGTTTTACCTTTTTGAGCTGATTTGTGTAAAATTAATAGTATTTTCGAAAATAATACCCATGCAAACTTCAATGTCTTTTTTCATCTTCAAAAATTAATTCTTCAACATAAGTTATGTTTCAAAGTAATTAAAAAAAATAATTGGCATGCATAAAATGAAAATTGTTGCATGAAAAGGTTTCAATTTTAAACTTCTTTTTACTATATTAAGGGGTTATCCTTCCTGATTAAGGAGACGATATCCTTAACTAAATATATTTATAAAAACACAACAGTAGGTAACGGTGACCTATATTTTTCAGCTGACATACTGTGAGGATCTAAGATACATAAATTGAGAAAGCTCCATGATTATATGCAAATTAGTTCCTGAAATTTTTAATTACAGCCCTGAAAATTGAAACATAGGTCAGTGAACTATTTTTCAGTTGACATACTTTAAGGACCCAAGATGCATCAACTGACAAAGTTTGAAGATTATAGGCCTAAAAATGTCCAAAATATGTTTTTAAAACAATTTGAAATTGAATGCCTGCAAAGTTCACAAGGTATGTCACTCTGACCTTCTTTTGAATAAATATATTTTATGGCCCCAACATTAATAATTCTAATGCAATTGCTTTGTAAAACGCGTTTTGATTGGCTAATGCACAGATGTTTGAAGCAGTAAAACGAGCATTAACGAGAGTGAAAGCGACACAAAAAGGCGTCAGCATTAACGGTCCCAAATACCAAAATAGAAGATAGTTATTTCATAATCCTATACCTCTCAGAATTCAATTAATGACCTTAAATGTTTTGAAAAAGTTTAGCCATAAAGTTCAAAATGTAAGTCATGGATTGGTGATCTACTTTTCAGATGACATTCTCCAATGACCAAATGTGCAAAATAATGAAAATATGCCCCTTTATCATTTAAAAAAAAGTTTGATATGAGGTTGTTAGATGCATCTACTGACAAGATTACATAATTCTGGTCCTTATGGTAAACAAAGTATCAAAGTTTTTACAAAACATAATTTTTGGCCAACTGTAAAGTGACCTTGAGACCACACTCATTGCCATGTGGTTTTTGAGAAGATTTTTCTGCAGCCAGTATTTTTAGCTCTACTGGTCAGAGACCAGAAGAGCTTATGCTATAGTAATGCGTCCGTCGTCCGTCCGTCTGTCTGTCCAGCTGTCGGTCTGTCTGTCTGTCTGTAAACAATTTTTTTTAAAATGCTACCCCTCCTACAGTTTTGGTCTGGTTTCAATATACTTGGCATACAAATAGACTACACGTTGATACATAATTCTGTATATCAGTTTTTGATTTTGATGAACGATGTTGCCGTGGTTACTAAAAAATACAAATTTCTGTGAAATACTTTTAAAATGCTACTCCTTCTACAGTTTTGATCTGATTTCAATATACTTTGGCATGCAATTAGACAATACTGAGATACATAATTATCAGTTTTGTGTTTTTGATTTGGTGAATGATGTTGCCATGGTAACTAAAATTGAAAATTCTGTAAAATTTTATTAAAAGCTACTCCTACTTTTATAAAGTTTTATGTCCCAACTGCTACTTTTCTCTTCCTTTATTATAAGTACAAACCAGTAGAGCTACAGTCTCGACAGAACATTACAAAACATGACCAACCAGGGGTTCCTGAGATATGGCCCATTGTGGAAAAAGTTTACGCACAGTGCACAATGGCCATAGCAATTGCTTTTTGAGCCATTGGCTCAGAAGAGCTAAAAATAGTGAGATTAATGTCCAATTGACTTCTTGTTGATTTAAATACTCAGTAACAGTATATCCAGAGGAACTTTTTTCATCAAAATCCTATTTATATTTTATTTATTATTTGTTTTTAAGGCTGCAGCAATAAAAGTACAGTCATATGTCAGAAAGTATCAGGCACAGAAAAAATTCAAAAGTCTGAAGGCATCTGTCATTCAACTTCAGAGACAAATTCGTGGGAAGTTAATGACAGCCAAAGAAAGAGAGAAGTTCCTTGTATTGAAACGTTCAGCCATTCGCATTCAAGCCCAATTTAGAGGCCACATTGCCAGAAAAGAAGCAAAGCACATAAAACATACTGTAGTAAGAATCCAGAGACAAATTCGTGGGAAGTTAATGACAGCCAAAGAAAGAGAGAAGTTCCTTATTTTGAAACGTTCAGCCATTCGCATTCAAGCCCAATTTAGAGGCCACATTGCCAGAAAAGAAGCAAAGCACATAAAACATACTCTAGTAAGAATCCAGAGACAAATTCGTGGGAAGTTGATGACAACCAAAGAAAGAATTAAGTTCCTTGTATTGAGACGTTCAGCCATCCGCATTCAAGCCCAATTTAGAGGCCACATTGCCAGAAAAGAAGCAAAGCACATAAAACAGACTGTAGTAAGAATCCAGAGACAAATTCGTGGGAAGTTAATGACAGCAAAAGAAAGAGAGAAGTTCCTTATTTTAAAACGTTCAGCCATCCGCATTCAAGCCCAATTTAGAGGCCACATTGCCAGAAAAGAAGCAAAGCACATAAAACAGACTGTAGTAAGAATCCAGAGACAAATTCGTGGGAAGTTAATGACGGCCAAAGAAAGAGAGAAGTTCCTAGTATTGAAACGTTCAGTCATCCGAATTCAAGCCCATTTTAGAGGCCATATTGCCAGAAAAGAAGCAAAGCACAAAAAACATACTGTAGTAAGAATCCAGAGACAAATTCATGGGAAGTTAATGACAGCCAAAGAAAGAGAGAAGTTCCTTATTTTGAAACGTTCAGCCATTCGCATTCAAGCCCAATTTAGAGGTCACATTGCCAGAAAAGAAGCAAAGCACATAAAACAGACTGTAGTTAGAATCCAGAGACAAATTCATGGGAAGTTAATGACAGCCAAAGAAAGAGAGAAATTCTTAATTATGAAAGGTGCGGCTCTTACCATTCAGACATATTATAGAGAATACAAGACGAAATGTATGTATGAAGAAATGAATCAGGCTATAATACTATTTGAGTCAGATTCTCTGGACGGAGGGAAGCAGAGGGTACTTCAAAAAGCTACAGCAATCTTACAACGAATATTAGAGAATCACTTTCACATCAAGCGCGTCATGCTTAAGGTTAGACCAAGTAAAAATATTTTTCTTGCCAACAAAAATAATAATATTGGTTTAGAGAAAAAATTTTTTATATAATAATTAGGGATACAAGGTTAACCGGGTACTCGATGCAACGTATTTACTAAAACTGGTACTCGTTATTTATATTTTTAAATACTTCTAAGCTTATATAATGCATTAAAACATCGGTTTTAAAACGTAAAATGTTCATTGCACTTCTACATACAGTAATTAGGTTTCCTACGCCTCTAAATGACCGTTACCGCCTGTTGTTTATACAGTAATTATCGTGACCAAACACCTACGTACCTACCTGGCTTTTCTCACCTTCGAAACGTTTAGTCTTTAATTATTTGTTTTCATCGAACATCGTTTAAGGTCCATTATATTTAAATAAATCAAATAATTTTGTCAATTTCCAAGAAGCCAAATTCTCGGGGAAAGAGACAGACATATTGACGTGCATTGTTGATATGATGCGTTTGATTACATGCCAATTAATGCAAATGGTTGAAGGCAAATGCTTTAAAAATCTTATGTCCATTGTTGCTCCAAACTTACATCAATTTTATGCAATCATCAAAAAGTACAAGATCGTATAAATCTCTGTTAGCTTGATAAAAGTTTATACCGTACATGTAGCCAGACAACTTATCACTTGGACGTGAAACGCACCAAAGAGTTACATTAAATAACCGAACAGATTATTTTTAAACAAAACACTGTGAACCATACATTTTATTTTTTTTATCTGTAAATTGTTTGTTAGATTAAATTACAAAGTATAATTTTTACAACGCATTTGCAGGTAACCTCCCATCGGTTTTATTTCTACAAGAGTTTACAATGTTTTACACTTATCAATTAACTGTTCATATTTATTTACACTTTTTATTCGATGAACCGAGTATTCAAAATTGACCAATTTGACATCCCTAATAATAATACAAGGTATAGACATTTGCATATTTGTATTTTAAAGCATATTTATTTTAATTGGAATAAGTTGTAGTTAGCTGGTTAGCTAATTTGCATTTCATTCCTAGTATAAAGCTCGGAGAATCTTTTGTAGGACCAGGTGATAAAAAAACTGACATACTTGCTACAGTTTACCAAGAAAACAACAGAGATGCATAGATGCTTCAGAAATTATGCACCGCTTTGTGAAGCGAAGAGAAAACTTCACAATGCACTCATAATACAAGTAAGGTTTTTAGCTTACTATCCACCCTCAACGGAGTTGGAGGGGATAAAGTATCGCTATCTAGTTTTTATGTTTGTGTGTTTATTACATAATTAGCATTGGGATCAGTGTTAAATGCTGCCTTGTTTTACATAGATGCTCCGCTTTGTGGTGCCTTTGTTTGATTTATAAATTACATGATCAAATTATCCTTCTAAATATTAAAGAGTAATATTGGGTGATGAAATGTAAGTTTGCTGTTGTCCAGACTGATGGCTAATTGCATACAAAGAACAACTCGGAACATTGATTAATTACAGAACTGGATGAGAGGGAGATTATGCCGCTTAAGATATCTGAAGCAGAAGAAGTCCATGCCTGTGTCAGAAACAGCAGCGTTGAAGTGGAGGGACATCTGCAAAGATGAAGAACAAATTAAAGCAGCATCCACAACTCAGGTAACAGATGTCTAAGTAATCCTGTTCAAGTTAAACCTGGATCTTACATCATGGTTGATCCAGGTACCCATTTTTATCATGTCCACCTGTCCAATTATTAAAACCTTTATTTGACATGTTTAAAACTTGAGTTAGGAATTTTTTCTAACAAAATTAAGGTGTTATATTCACTATACGTAAATGGAGAATGGTAAAAGTAAAGCACATTACTTGAAAAAAGGTCAGAGTTAAAAGTAAAGATTGCTTATTTGTTCTAGTTTTAATTAATATTAATAGTGATTCCAGGTATGGATCCTTGATTTGAATCTGCCACTGGAATAATTGCCAAGATCATATGTTACAGCATGACAATTTCGATTTCCATCCATATATTATTTACATTATTTTTACTTGGTTGAGGATTGTTAGAATATATTTATACATTTTCTTTATGTGACTTGATGGAAAGTCAGGTTTAGGGATTGGGAATACATCCTCCTTTTCAGCTGTCCTGATAATTGACATTAAGTCCAGACTATAACTTTGTAATTTTTCATTACTCTTATTACCAAATAAAGTCTATTTTTATGGGTAACATTTCTTGTTGAGATTGCATTTCTTAAATTTCAGAATGACGAAAGGATGGAGGAAAACAAGGTAAATGTGAATGAAGGAAAGATGGAGGAAAACAAAGTAAATATGAATGAAGGAAGGATGGAGGAAAACACAGTAAATATGAATGATAAGAAAATAGGGGTATGTTGTTTTTTTTAAACATTAAGTTTAAATTTAGAGCAAATTATATAGGACATCAAGAGAAATTTTTAAAGCACATCTGTGTTTTGTGGAAATTGACAGTCAAAATTATAATGAGTTTTATCTCTCTGCATTTCAGAGAATGAAGAAATTAAGAAGATGGATCAAGCTGTGTTTCTGCTGCTCTGGATAAATGTAGGTAATTACTTTACATGTAATAAATAGATGTAGTAAATGTAATTAATCACATCTCCCTTCTCCATTCTTTATCTGTATTTTATTTTAAGGAAGATAGCAATTAAAGTAAGTGATACTAGTGGTTCATTGAGTTGACAATCAAGATAATTGAATCAGTTCATAGGTGTCTCTAAATATTTTATATGCTGAAGTAAGGCAGTCAATCAGCCATCAATAATGATTTTTTATAAGTTACAACATTCTGACACTTCTTTGGATGGAGGGGATAAATTTTTAAAAAGTAATGTTCCATTTCTTTCTCATCTTTAAACAGATATATTAAAAATATTTTTTAAAATGTTTTAGTAGACAGTGTTTTATTATTATTATTTTTTGCAGATGAGAAGATGACTTCAACCAAGATCTGAAAGAATCTTTTTTAACTTAATTTTGTTAAGAAAATGATTGTAAATTTTAAACTCATTAAAACTTAAAATTAATTTAATCAAGTAATTTTTGGAGCCCAGGAGGGGACAATTGAGCTACACATTTGGTGCTTGGATGATAATTCAATCTGTTTTTCTCTATTAGACCATTTTTCCCTAAATTTACAAAACATCAACAATTTTGGAACTTATGCCTTTCAAGGAGAAACCAAGGTTCCTTGTCTAAAGACTTCAAAGTGTAAATACATCCATTTAGAGTTTTTCTTAGCTCCATTGTCCTCTCCTGTCAAAATTTCTACTTATACCAGTAGTTAAAATATCTGTATGTATAAAAGTGATCCAACTTTGAATTGTTTGTAATAAACAATCATCTGCATACTTGTATTAATTGACTTTTAGTTATAAATTTTGGAAACGGTTTATTTTAAGGAAATAGTTTTCTTGATGCAACAAATTCTAAAATTTACCATTGTGATTAAAAAGAGATATTTGACCAACGCTTGTAGAATAGCTCACATATTCAGTTTTTAGAGTCAAAATGCTTACAATGATATGTTTCAAACTAGAGAATCAAAAAATGTTGATGTATGAACATTTTCAGGGGTTCAAACTTCAAACTCGTAGACTGATCATGCAATATATATATATATGTATATAGTTGTGAAGAAGTACTAATCATGTAGTTCCTTTTCATATATTGTAAAAATTACTAGTAGTTTAGGAAAAAGTTAATGGAAAGTAGCTTTAGTTTCTTTTGCATACACATGTTTAACAAAAAGTACTGGATCTCAAAAATCTTTTCAACAATACCATTTATGAACAGGGCATAAAACACGGACCATTTCAAATTCCAGAACTTGGAATCAGATACCTAAGAGGAGAGAGTATTCCTGGTTTTACAGTGAATATACCACCTTAATGTAATTTGGTAGAAAACTTCCTAGCTCAAGAAAACATGTCAAATTAAAGTTTTGATAATTGAAATGGTGGACTTGATAAAAATTGGCACCTGCATCGATCTGGATGTAAGATCCAAGCTAACTTTTAACAGATTTACTTAGACATCTGTTACCTGAGCTTTGGACTTTGCTTGAATTTGTTATTTATCATTGCCGATGTCCATCATTTCTTTATCATGGCAAAAGTCCCTCAGTTCTTTATCATGGCAGATGTCCCTCAGTTCTTTATGATGGCCAATGTCGGTCATATCTTTATGATGGCCGATGTGCCTCAGTTCTTTATGATGGCTGATGTCCCTTGCTTCTTTATCATGGCTGGTGTCTCTCAGTTTTTTTATCATGTCCCTCGGTTCTTTATGATGGCTGATGTCCCTCAGTTCTTGATGATGGCCAATATCCCTCAGTTCTCTATCATGGTTTCCCTGTCTAAAAACTTCAAAGTGTATATACATCTATTTTAGATGGCTTGTTTCCCTCAGTTCTTTATGATGGTCGATGTCCCTTAGTTCTTTTTCATGGCTCTTGTCAAAATTTTTTACTTATAATTAAAATATCTATATGTATAAAAGTGTTCCAACTTTGATTTTTTTTGTAATAAACAAACATCTGCATACTTTTAGTTATGAATTTTGGAAATGATTTATCTTTAGGAAATAGTTTTCTTGATGGAAAAAATTCTTAAAATTTAACATTGTGTTTAAAAAGAGATGCTTGACCAAGGATTGTAGAATAGCTTTTATACGAGTATTCAGTTTCTAGAGTCACAATGCTTAGAACGATAAACTTGAGAATCCAAAAGTATGATATATGAACATTTTCAGGAGTTCACACTCATAGACTGATCATGCAAAATATATCCTTAGTTGTGAAGAAGTACTAGTCATGTATTTTCTTTTCAAAAATTATAAATATTTGTTTAAAAAAAAAAATGGAAAGTGGCATTAATTTCTTTTGCATATACGTTTAACAAAAAGTACTGGATCTCAAAGATCTTTTCAACAATACCATTTATGAACAGGGCATAAAATACGAACCACTGGAAATTCCAGAACTTGGAATCAGATACCTAAGAGAGGAAAGCATAGACATAATATTGTCAATTTTTTGTGTAAAAACAATAGTGTGAAATATGTTAGTTAAAATACGACACAATGAGAGATTGTAAATGAGTCATGTATTTGCAAATGTCATTATAACGACCGTAGAATTTTCATTTTATAGACATTTTATAGAGGGTTGTTGAAATTCTTTTAACTTCAATTCTATTAACTCTTTAATTTTTCCATTTATCTGGAAAATGTAATCCGTAAGATCAGATACAGAATCCGAAGCACGTCTAGTAGTGTCCATCCCTAGATGCATCATCTATGCAAATTTGCTTCAGGAAGGGCTCATAATTTCTTCGGAATGGACCTGCCAAAAACTTTAACCTGGTCACTGAACTGGAAAAAAGTAGGTTACTGAGTACATCAAACACACAAGCAAGTTTGGTGGTGTCCATCCCTAGATGCATCATCTAAGTTTGGTATGGGTAGGGCTTATATATAGTTACTTGGGAATTGACCTGCTCAAGAAACTTTAACTTGGTCACTCAACTGGAAAATGTTGGTCAGATCCACCATCCGAAGCAAGTCCAGAAGTGTCCATCCCTAGATGCATCATCCATGCAAGTTTGTTTCGGATAAGGCTTATAATTTCTTTGCAATGAACTCGAACCTGCTCCAAAAACTTTAACCTGGTCACTCATCTGTCTTAAGTCTAAAAGTGTCCATTCCTAGATGCATCATCTATGCAAGTTTGCTTATAAGGTAGGGCTTATAATTTCTTCGGAATTGACCCGCCAAAACTAACTTTCATCTGGTCACTCATCTGGAAAATGTAGATCAGATCCAACATCCGAAGCAAGTCTGATAATGTCCTTCCCTATAGATGCATCATCAATGCAAGTTTGGTCCGGGTGGGCTTGTAAGTACTTGGGAATGGACCTGCTCCAAAAACTTGAACCCAGTCACTCATCTGCATGATTTAATGTAGGTCATATCTAGCATCAGAGGCAAATTTGGTAGTGTACATCCCTAGATGCATCATCCATGCAAGTTTGGTTCAGGTTGGGCTTTTTGTTACTTGGGAATGAACTAACTCCCAAAACTTTAACCTTGGACGCCGACGCTAACGCCGGGGGTATAGCATAGGCTCACTTCACATAGGTGATTTCGTTGAGGTGAGCTAAAAACTGAAGTCATCGCTTGTCATTATATATTTTTTACTTTTAGTTCGCTTTATAGTTAGTAAAACAGCTACCTCTGCATATTACATGTTTACGGCGAGAACTTGTGACTTGATGGCGCGTAACCGAGGTTCTTGTGGCAGTAGGAGTATAAAAGATATGTGACAGGTTCTAGCTTTATACTGTCTTTAATATCGAGCTAATATGGGGTATATAACGAGTCGACAAAGACCAGTATGCCGAATTTGAGAACCACTGAGTATCTGATGTTCTATAGTTAACATGTGTTTATTTAAAAAAAAGATTAATTTTCTTAGGACATCTGATTGTCTCATGACACTTTGCAATGACAGTGAAACTTGATGGACTGTTTATAATTTACAAAATAGCTTTGTTTCTTTTTACGAAAAACAAAAATCCCCAAATTTAGACTTTAGACTGAAATTGTGAAATTTTGAAAATCAGAAGCCCCCATGCAAAAACTTCCTTGCAAAAGGAATAGGAGGGCATAGTGCATGTGATCCGTAAAGCCCCTTCAAAAACGTGATTTTGATCAAAACTTTCCACATTTATACTATGTATACGTAAAGATGTTTACATCTCAAAGTCAGTGGTAAGTTTAACCCTACATTAACCGGTAAATAAATCATGCTCATGGGATCAGAGCATTAATTAATGTACTTTTGACGAGCTAAAAAAATTCATCCATTTGAATCCGATTTTGACTGAGCACTGGCATTCACTTCATGGCGTGGTGCAGTCTTTAATTACGTCGCGGGTTCGAATCCCACGGTGGGACGTGGAGACCGGTCCTTCGGATGAGACCGTATAAACCGAGGTCCCGTGTCGCAGTAGGTGCTGGCACGAAAAAGATCCCTCCTTGCTCAATTGCGCTGAGTGCCGAATTTAGGAAAAAATTTGCAACTCTCCATCGGCAAGTCGTGGCGTCTCCATATGAGTGAAAAATTCTCGAGAGGGACGTTTAACAATATACAATCAATCAATCAAGGATTTGACCACGGTTAAAGAAAGGGACACAGTATACTTCTGTAACTGTTAAATGTGTTCGTGATATGTAGGCTGTGTGCTTACATTTACACATAATTAAACATACAAAGCGATAGAGAAATAGGGTGATCTATTCTGTTTATTCCAACGTTACGAAGATTGTATATGAATTAAGTCCCTTTAGCCACGTGCTGCTTAGTATTTCCGCGCGAAACATTTTGGCGCGTAGCCAGCTCCACGTGGTGTCCATGCTGCAAGTTTGTATGCAGCCTTCCTTAAGTTCCTCACTCCTTTTCGGGTATATATATGCCACTTCATAATAATTGTCCGATATTTAACAAAGAATGCAATCTTTTTATATGCATAATTTTTGTTATTTTTAGTTGATGATGCACATTGAATTTGGACGGGAAATCACATTGGTTGTTCAGGCACCTTGGTCGGACTGTCCAAGGCACAATTGTTGGAATTTCCCATTATTTGTTGGTAGGAATGTGTACATGTATATATGGTTGCGATCTAAGACTTTTTGAACTATTTCTCTAAAGCATGCAGTGATCGGAGATGTGGGAGGGAAAACTTAAAAATCTCCATTCACTGAAATCGATCGATTATAGATCTACAATCCTAACAACTTTTGTGTTAAATGGTATGTATAACTTACATGATCAATACCTATGTGCCTCTTCAGAAAGGCTATCGCATTTTAGCTTACAAAAACATGCATGTAGTCATGCAATAGATTTTTTATTACCCACGAGTATAAACGTCATATTTAAGCTGATCATAACTGCATAAAAAATGGGCCCATTTCAAACGTATTAATAATCGAGACGTACACTCATGCATTATTTCGTTTAGTTAAGAAAATTATATTTTATTAAATAATTATATGTTTGATTAAATAATCATAGGTACATGTATTCTACAGGAACATTTTGTGTAAAATATTTCATGTGCATTCACTTGTATACATGTTAATCAAGCAGTGCCTCATTCAGGATGGTTAAATATTCCGGGAGAAAAAAATGACTTGTTTCTATTCTTAGGTTTTGGTATTTTGGATTTCCCCTCATTATATTTATAAATCCTTGTAATGCCACATGCACTTCGTAAACTCAGTGATGTGTATAGTTCTTCCTCCTTTTTATTGAACTTTATTTTAGGATAATTATGATTAACTAAATATAAAATTGAAAGAAAATGTATCAATATTTATGAAATTTTAATTTAAAAAAAGATTAACCCTAAAAGTTTTTTGCTAACGGAAGGTTAGATTTTTTTCTTATTGAAAAATGAAACTGAACACAATATACCACAGGCGCCTGACGTTACTTATTTTTCTTTTAATAAAAAAAATATACACATACCGAATAATAAACAAGGTACCCATCGAAACCCGCCATCTTGGATTTTCGAAGTAGGTCATCACTTGTATTTTCGTCTGAAACTCCGTCAAATAAATTCCCTGCAACCATATTCTTTCTGTAGCCAGTCTTTCGAGGTCTAAACTTACGGACACTGCAGCCAGGAAGGCGCATTACACTTGCAAATATTGAAAATCCCTCGTCAAACTCGACCTACTGCTTCAACATTCCGAGAAATCGCCAAAAGGGGGCCGGAAGTTTACATACGACTTGAAATTCTTAGGGAAAGCCCTTTTTTGATTGGTCAATATATTTGTGCGATTTATTTTTAAAAATAACCGGCGAAAGTTAGTACTTATTCCAAACACAATATTTCAGACAATAATACAACGTAATATACATGTAAGAACATTCTTTTTATTTCTCTCAAAATAATTTCGATATATCTTGATTAATAAAGCGATTATTATTTTGTAAATGTCGAAGATCGGCCTGATCATGCTAGCTGATCAATGAACATTTTCGAGACAAATTGAGTTGGTTGTAAGGCCCTACTTACATGCACTAAATATAATTAATAACACTGTCATTATTGATGCCCTGATTGAGCGCTATCCGTGCAGAAGATTGACTTTATAAGTATGTACGCACGTGTGTGAGGGGGGGGGGGGGGGTCCACACAAAAATTATCCCAGGGAATGTTGAGATCTGCAATTTTATGTACTGCAATAAAGTAGTGACATGGCGACATTTTTATTTTTTTCTTGGTGACAGATTATACATATACATTTCGCATAGGCTTATATTTGATTTCATTACATATCCTTTTTTCAGTGTGATCCTTCTCCTTTTTCAATTAAGCATATGCCATGTATATATGTATACATATATATAACTGGATGGTTTGCAGTCTATTGTTTTTTGAAAACGATTCAATTAACTCTAGATGATTTGTTATTGATTTTTTTAAGCACCCCCCCCCCCTCTCTTTTATTCAAAATTGTTTCGAACGCAACGACCTGTATAGATTAATATAGTATATTTTACAGGTATATTTATAAGAAGTGTTTTATTTTTCCCATTTTGCATTTTTTTCATTTCTATAATCGAAATATTCATTAAAATTTCAAAGTAATTATGACACCCCGCTTTAGATCCACCACAAAACTGACAAATACGGAATTCCCATTAGCATATTGATGTAAACTTCCGGCCCCCTTTTGGCGATTTCTCGGAATGTTGAAGCAGTAGGTCGAGTTTGACGAGGGATTTTCAATATTTGCAAGTGTAATGCGCCTTCCTGGCTGCAGTGTCCGTAAGTTTAGACCTCGAAAGACTGGCTACAGAAAGAATATGGTTGCAGGGAATTTATTTGACGGAGTTTCAGACGAAAATACAAGTGATGACCTACTTCGAAAATCCAAGATGGCGGGTTTCGATGGGTACCTTGTTTATTATTCGGTATGTGTATATTTTTTTTATTAAAAGAAAAATAAGTAACGTCAGGCGCCTGTGCAATATACGGCTGATACAGACGAAAACGAAATATATGGTTAGATTAATGTGGTTAATTTAAAGGGTTTTTTGACAGCCTCACATTTATTAGTTATGTCCTCATCTACGACAGTTCATATCGAATAAAGGGGGGGGGGGGGGGGGGGGGAGATAATATTAGTAAGAGATCAAGTAAGCAGTGTGTTGATGAAGTATCCTAACAAAAAGGTTTCTATAGATTTGGGTGTTGAATGTCAAGATAAAAGGTTGGTCGATTGCAAACATAAATAGTTTTGAGTTAATTTAGATAAAAAGGAGAGTACCAGTATCTGGCAATGATAAGATGCCATATAATTTGGATATACCGGTATTCATCAGGTTTCAAGATTTCGTATGAAGTTCGAACAATAGATGGAGAATGCCTAAACGTAGCTGCAGAACTGTAGCTCTCCGAAAAATATATTGATAGACCGGAGAGCTACAGCGCCACCCATTGAAAATAACTGTATATTTATTGCGCACAAAAAGTTGCGCGTGTGTATGGATCAATTCTTCCAAATTCTAACCATATGCAAAAAAAAATAAGATTTCAAAAAATTCCATACTCTTCTATCAAGTACATCTACACGAAGCGCGTTGGGCCGAATTATCTTACGAACCAAAATGACAGTATAAACAGACAAAATTTTCGATGATCTCGATTTCGGGGCCTGGAGGGCTATAAACAACAACTGTAAGGTATGTTTAGTTGTGGAAACAGTGAAAGATTATGTGAGGAATACATGGTTAGTGATATTTTGAGATTATAGTTTTAAAAACATAGAAAAATAAATCGATAAACAGCGCACTTTTTGTGCGCAATAAATATACATTTGTAAAGTTTTTTTCAATGGGTGGGACTGTAGCTCTCCGGTCTGTCAAATTATTTTTTCGGAGAGCTACAGATCTGCAGCTATGTCAGTGATTGATTTTATTGAAAAAATAGTACCGATGCCACTATTGACTCACAGGCTTTTGGGCCGCTTGAAAAAAAATTGTGTGTAAAACACCTCAATTTTTTACAAGCGATCTAAAGGCCTGTGTATTGACAGAAACATTTTAGGATAACACTCAGCTTTATATATCATTGGAGAGCATGGATTGGAAAAAAGCCTATAGATTTAACATCACTTGGTCTAAGGCCAAAGTCAGGATTAAATACAGAATACAGCCAATTGTTTTACCAGGAACTTGTACTAAAATATATCTATTTTTTCCTCGTGTGCAAATTGATTTTATCTTAAACAAATTCGTTTTATCTTCCTCTCCAGACTCCTTCATTTTAAAGCTTAAACTCTAGAGTGTGTCTAGATATCAGCTGCGGCACATTGCTCACGTTATAAATAGATTTCAGATATTTAAAAATTGTATGGGATTGTTCATGATGTTTTTATTGTTTTTCAATACACACACAGAACCAAAACATTAAATAAGAAATGTAAATGCTTAGAATTAATATTTACTGCACCTTACACCTTATATCATAAAACAATAAAGTTATTTACTGAATTATTCCTTAATTCTGTGTCCTGATAAACATATTATAAATCAAACAGATCTAGATAAAATGTTATTGTATAATTTTTTGAAGTATGGTGGCATATGGTGTTAACATAACTTGTATGTTGGCATAATTAATTAACATTTAAAAATATCACTTAAGTTGCATCATTGATGTCAGATATACTGTATACAGGGAAATTTTTGCCCCCATTTTATTTTCGCCCCTTTCACCCTTGACACAACTGGGCGAATTAAAAATGGGGTGAATTCAAAGAACACTGTATAATTTCTTAATCAGAACTTTGACTCGGTGAATTTAAAATGGGGCAAAATTGTAAGCAAGCTGAAAAGGACCAAAATAACGGGGCAATAATAGCCCAGTATACAGTACAAGTGAAGGAAATTAAACATACTAATCTTGCATGCAGAGTTGAAGACATAATAATCATGGCATTTTAACATACTTTAAGGATCTAATAATTAAGAATATTAACATACAGGTCAATTCTGCATTCGTGTATCAGATTGATTTAAATTTTAAAATATGACATTATTATATAGCTTAAAATACAAGTTAGGGAATTAATGATAAACAAATTTATACAAACTTTTTACATGCTATCTTAGTATGAAAATGTTTGCCAAAGTAACTTGGTACTTTGCCAAAGCAGCTCTAATTTATAAAAATATACTGAAATGTGTTAGCATAAAAATAAACACCGTCTTGACTAGCTAAGAAATGGGATCCTTAAATGTTATGAGAATGGGAGTGGATCAAACTCTTGGCTAGCAAAGATGCATTGTATACTATAGGACATGTATGTTGCTGGTGTCAACTTTGACTTTGATGAATATAATGTCGTCCTTGAGGTACAGCAGATCTTTGTTTGTAACACATTTTGATAAATAGAGGACATCCTGTTATAAGAATGGAAGTGGATCAAACTTTTGACTAGCAAAGATGTGGTGTATACTATAGCACAGGTATATTGCTGGTGTCAACTTTGACCTTGATGAATATCGTGTCGTCCTTGAGGTACGTCTTTGTTTCTAACACACTGTGGGAGATAAACAGAGGACACCCCGTGGCGACGTTCATCTCGGTCGTTGGCCTCTTGAAGCTGGAGCTCGTCGTGTCAGGCTGGAACGTGTCGCAAACGTGTCGCCGGAAATTGTCCTGATCCAGAAGCATCAGCGATACCTTCTGCTGGAAAGGCCAGGGAAGCAATGCGTCGTACTCACCTCTCATCACAACAAAGAACAGCGACAGATGAGTCCCTTTACCCATACCGTCGCCATTCAAGTACACCCTGGCACACATCTTGTAGCCCGTGCGACTTGTGTAGAACGGCTGGCTGTACAATGATAGAGTTCTTCCACTCTTGGCTTCCTGCTTCCTTCTGGAATAATCTCTGATTTTCCACATTAAAATGCCATCATAACTGGCAGTTTCTAACACTTGGAATCTCAGGTCGAGTTCTGCTAATCTTATGTCCTGGATGGCCATTTGTTTCTCATTGTTTTTCAGTTGATTTCTTACCTCTGAAAAAGATTTTTACACAGGTTGTGAGTTTTCATCTTGATTAAAGCAAAATTATAGTATCTTGACTTAGACCAATATCAATCTACATAAATCAAATGCAGATATATTATCAATCATGCCTAAATGATTCATGTCTTAGCAATTTCTTGTCACATCTTGGTTACACTTCTTATGGACATTGAAGGGATTAATGACTTAACCAAGCATTCATGAGTATAGTTATAAATTATCATCACAAATAGTTTATTCATACTGCGTATTCTTACGACACAGTCATAGTCTTATGTCAGATCAAGATTGATCTGTAGTTTTCCTTTTAACACTATTTAGTTTACACTTGACTGTATTTTTCCTGTTCTCCCTATATAAATATTAACCCACGACTTTCACAAGGAAAAAGTAGAAACCAATAATCTTAGCCCTATGCTTTCTGGTAAGTGTATTATAAACTTCCGTACCTTGGGGCATTGCGGCCTCAGTCCCTCCCCCTGACGGCCCTGCCCTCTCTATCTGAGTTATCTGCTCCTGGCTGACCCTCAGGTCCTCCCTCAATGAGTTGATGACCTGTTCCTGTTTTTCCAGGACCTCTTTCTTTGGTTGATGTTCAAACATTCTTTCCAAGTTTATCAATCTTTCAGTTAATGTCACTAATTTCTTTTTCATGTCTTTTGTTAAGGATTTAACTAAAGGTTGTATTTCTTCTTTTAATCTTTGATTTTCCTGCCTTAATTCCTGTACAATTGACTTAAGTTCCTCTGTCTCTTTTTTGCTTTTCTAAAATACAGAATTTAAAATAATCACTCCAGTTTCAAACACTGGGAAATTAAACTAGATGAACAAAATGGCTACAGATATTCAAAAAAAAAATTTTATGAAGGTCAGTGATTTCAAATCAGCTGACCTCAATCTCTTCTTGTACTGCTTTATTTTGGTCACTTGTTTGTCCAGAGAAGGACATGACCAACATCAAATGGTGATCTGTGGCAGTTGCCTGGTGCTTCTCAACTTCTTTTACAACATTCTGGAAAACAATTATTAAAGCATTGCAACATTTTGAAGTATCATGATTGTAGAACTGTCAATGATTTTACAAACACTGGTCATGTAACAGAATTTGTACACATGTTACTGAGCTATCTGCAATACTTACAACATATGTACACCCAATAGTTTTGTATCCACATGGTATTGGTCTTTTAGGACAAGATTGTAGGTGATTTTCCATCTGTTACAAAATACACCATAAACAAATTAAACATACATGTCAAACAACTATTAATGATTTGAGAATGTTAGAGTTTCTAGAAATTTGTCCGATGTTAAATCTACTAAACATGCCTACCTCACTTCTTTTTAAAGTTACATTTTCACAGCCATTAGGGCAGTTAAGTGGATATTCTGGACATTCATGGTCTATATGACTCTGTGTTGTCAAAATCAATAAAAACCCATATATTAGTTTTTTTTATTAATTATGTGCTTAAAACCAAAAAAAATATAAAGTTGAATCATGAAAGTTTTGAACATTTTAAAGCTTTCCCAAGCATTTACCTGCATCTGACAGAAGGGTACATTATGTGAGCAGTGTTCACACACAATAATACGATAGCTGCATTCCGATTCTTTGTGAGCCAATAGTTTATTCTGAGGTATCTTTTCATGACAGTCTTCACACTCGACTGGCTTAAACTCACAAATTTCAGTGTGTTTCTATTAAAAAAATATGTTAACAAAATTTGAAATTACAAATCTTTATAACCTTTTGGTATCATTGTACAAATTCTATTTAAGTAAACTGCATCTTTCAGAAAATGACTGAATTAGAATTATAGCAATGTAAAGTGATTGTGATGAAATACTTCTTTGCTTATAAACAGATTACTTTTATCAGTCCTTATACAAATACATGTCTTGGTCCTGAGATATATTAAATATCGCATAGAGAATCAATGTATCACAATATCTTAAAGGGGGTGGAGGGGGGGGGGGTTATGATAACAAGCATTATTAATATTACAATAAAATTTGTTGAAATGATTCCTGAATTCTTGGGTGTAATTCTGCTCCAATGTATGTAAATGAAATTAAAGCACCGAAATAAAATAATCCAAAGCTCATATTCATAAGTTCTGTTTTTTCAATACTGGCAAGAGAACATTTGAATTAAAAGATTAGGTGTTACAGAAGTTAAGTCACCTGAGTAAACAAACTAATTACATACACAGTTATGATGAAAAATGGTGCCTCTTTCAAAATTGTGTATGTGTGTGTGTGTGTGTGGGGGGGGGGGGGGGGGGGGTATTATATACTGTTTGATGTCCCTCTCCAGAATATTTCACTGATATGGAGACGTCACCATTGCCGGTGAAGGGCTGCAAATTTGGGCCTATGCTCGGCACTCAGGGCCATTGAGCAGGGAGGGATCTTTATCGTGCCACACCTGCTGTGACACGGGGCCTCGGTTTATACGGTCTCATCCGAAGGACCGTGGGGGGGGGCTCTATTATATAGTGAAAATGCATTTATTCTTTGAAAATCTTCTTCTCTGTTCCAGGATATCTAACAAACTAACTACATACATACATAGTTATGATGAGCAATGGCCATTCTTCCAGAATTATGAATTTTAAGGCCCAAGGATTAGAGGTACTCAAGAGAGAGGGGGGGGGGGGGGGGGGGGGGGGCTCTAATTATTTACTGAAAATGAATTTGAAATCAGCTCCTTGATATAAATCAAACATTTATGATGAGCATGGGTGCCTTTTCCAAAATTGTGAAATGTGTGTACCTAGAGTCGGGGGTTCTTGTGGGGTGGGGGCAATGCTGATTATTGCTGAATACATGTATTTATACTGAATAGTTGAAATCCATTTTTTGTTCCCCTATTCTGCCTATCAGTACATGTATTAAGTTACCAAACTAAACATTCTAAGTGTATAGTTATGATGAGCAATGGTTTCTCTTTCAAATTGTGAATGAACCAAATTCAATTGATGGAAAGTTGTTGCATGATGCACAGGTGACATATAAGGCCCACAGGCCTCTCATATTTTAAAAACCGTAAGTCTTTACCTGTAGATTTCTCCACTGCAGTATTTCTTGGCAACCCTCACCACTATACGAGCAATACACCTGTAGTAACATGATTTCTCGTCTAGTACACATATCTTTGTATACCTGAAATATATACCAGTGTTGATGATAATATGAAAAGCTTGAGCACTGGGTCTGACAGCAAATTAATTTAGTAAATTTTATGTTATCTGCATGATTAAGGACAAAAGAAGGGGACAAAAGTCAAAAGACCTTAAAATACCGGTAATGCAGATGGACAAAGTAAAGGAAGGGTTGATTTTTACCTTTCAACTTTTGACCTCAAAATTCAAAAGGAATATTTGTTAGGTTAGAAAGATCCATCACCTTAGTTTCATTGCAAAATCCTTGAGAGAACTTATCATCAGAGGCTGAAAACTACATAATGCAACACATGAATTTTTTACCTTGACCTTTGACCTCAGAATCAATAAATGCCTTAAAATAGAGGGAGATATTATATAAAAATGTCCTTGCAATAAAAATTTGCAATTTATTTGATTTTCAAGCTGAAGAAGAACAAGTTATCATCAGGAAGCACTTGATAATATATATGAATACCTGTAAATCACTAAATGACAAATAAAAATCCATTCAAAATGATAATTTTTTCAGAGAAATTTTGTTCAACAGTGCTACAGAAAGTTTATTCACCTCATTTTTGGTAAAGGGTTCCTCACATTCTTCATCAGTGTTGACAGGGCATGTTGCTGTTTCGTCTTCTCCAAACAATGGATCAATGCAGGGTTCACATATCTGATGTCCACATTGTAGCTGCATAGCATTCCGTAATACGAAATTACACACAGGGCACACATACTTCGGTGGCAGTTTTTCAACAAAGTGTGGCAATTCTGTTGATGTCAGCAATGAGCTTCCTAACGATGTAAGAGATTTATCCATATTTTGACTATAATTCAGCTGACCTTGTATTCAAATAAACAAAATCTTTTGTGATGCACGGTTCCTTCTTTATGAAAATGTCTCCGTTCACTTTCAATATAACATGTACTGCTATTCCGTACTATAAATGAAGTCCTCTGAGTAATCTCTTCCAAGTTACGTTGTTTATTGATTACCAACGGTAAGTGCTTTCCAGCAAAGCTTCTTGTACATTCAAACAAATTTCTTTTTCTTCTGTGTTTTCGATATATAAACACTATAAAATATCTTTTTTCGTGGGAAAAAAGCTTGTGCTTGCAGTTTTTCTTGCAAAGAAAATGAAAAATTAAATTCAAATTTTTTAACCAGACAGAATGTTTTCTGTAGTAATACACAATTATTGAGCGATGAACACAAGTATTATTTATAATATCCGTTTTGGCGATTTTTGCAACTCTTGCAAATCCACTGACAATTAGGTATAAATAATTTTGGATGCTATAAATGCCCATCCAGATCCTTTTTTGTTTCCTGAAATTAGAGTCAAGGCAAATAATTGCTGATGTAAAATATATATGCTATTCTCATCAAAATCAATTACCATACAAACTTGCCTATAAGTCGGTATTAGGGAGGTTAGTTAGATTTTCGACCAAAACTCTATGTCTGACTTACAGGCAAGTCATAAAAAAGTAGTTTTTTCTACACAGGAAAGTGTTGTATTTTATAGCCATTTCAATGATTTTCATTGTTATGTATTTGGATACATGTACCGTATATTGTACATAGCATTTATGTATTCTGAGATTATGAAAAACAATAAATTAAAAGTTTTACTGAGACGTAAAAAAAAATTTTTTTAAAGAAAGGTCTTGTCACAAGGAAAATACATTTAATAATGAAAGTCATAGGTTCACTAAATCAAAAGTTATGGGCAAGGTTAAAGTTTTTGAAGACAAACAGACAGACAGAGAGAAAGACAGACAGACAGATGGACAGACATGACAAAAACTATATATACATGTACCCCCAAAACTTCATTTACAGAGGTATAAAAAGAGATTTTTTCTGTTGGGTATGAATAAGATAAATGACAATTTTTTGCTAAAACCTAGGCCTATTCATGACATCACAGGAGGATGGAAATACCGGTACCTAAAATTGTACAGATAGGCCATAAGGGGTTTAGCTGGCCCCTTATTAGATCATAATTTGCAAATGTTTGCCCTTATATAACACTATTTGAACAAGTCGCTTTCACATCTCTGTAAAACACGTTCATCGTATGCTGCAGAACTGTAGCTCTCCGAAAAAATATATTGACAGTCCGGAGAGCTCAGTTTTAAATCCATAAACAGGTTTGGACGATTTCCAAATAAGGAAGTCAAGAGCGATAACCGTGAACTGCTATAAATACTCAGAATAATTAATGTGCTAGTCCTTCTGACCAATCAGATAACAGCATTTAGACAAACCCATGAAAAAATGAATAAAACACGTGGTTTTCAAGTTTTTGCTCAAAAGATTTTTTTAGAACAAACTCTCTGTAAACTTTATGCACATTTATGAATAATATAATATCTATGACAATTCTACCATGAACAAACACGACTTGAAAGCTTAGAATACGTTTTAAGTGGGATTAAAAATCTGTCACTATAGGAGTTAAGAATCCCAAAAGTTAATCTAATGTTTAAAATTTGATAAAAATACGGATAATTTTCAGTTTTTTGAGCCTGACATAAAAATCTTTTTGAATGGATACTTGTCTCAATTATTTTCCGAGTACTTATTACAAAATCGTCCATATACAGTTTCTCATATGCGAGGTAATTTAAGATATTGGGATAAGATTCATGTTATAATTATTCTCCATTCTCCACGTTTTATCTCTTACCTTATGCCCATTTAAAGTCTGCATAGCTTAACATTCGGCGCTCATGAAACCCGTGATATTTTAAAACTATGTGTAGTCCATACGATAAACACTTGTGAGTGTGAGGTGGATCTATACACAATTACACATGGATTTCAAGCATCATCGATGAAAATCGGTTGGCTAAGCAAAATTATATTTCAACATATAGTTTATTCTGGTAAATGTTATAATTGAACTTGATAAGAACTTGCTAGTGTGATTTATTCCTCCGTAAACAATTACATTGTATCATGCATTATTCTTTTTATTTCGTTATCAATATAAAAATGTCAAGGTTGTTCACAGTAAATATGTGGAGAATACCGTATTCTTCAAAAGTTTTCATCTTACATCTAAAGGTTTCTTGTTAAAAAAATCTTTTTGAGGAAAAAAACAAAAGCACGTGTTATCTCTTTGTTCTTTTGAAATATGTTTGGAGAATGTAAAAATGCTGTTGTCTGATTGGACAGAAATTTAAAATAATGATATGTACATAATGTATATCTATAGGAACTTTTAGTTATCGTTCTTAATTTCCATAGTAGGAAATCGTCGAGACCTGATAAAGGATATTTGTTTTTCAAAACTTAACGGCATAAATTTGAATGCCTTAAACACATCAATCACTTATGACGTCACTATGAAATTACGTAGATCGCTTATGACTTAAGGTCAAGATCTAGTAAATGAAGGGTGCCTACAGATTTATCAAATTCAAGAAATGAATTCCTCCAAGGATGCTTTATAACTTTAGCTTGGTCAGAAAAGGTGTTTCAGGGCATAATTTGTGGAAAATAAGATGAAAAACCATATTTTAAACTGTCATTTTCAATGAAAAATGAAGAAAACCAGTCATGAATATGGGAGTTTTTTCCATATCACACAAACAAAATGTATCCAGATTGCCTACAGTCTTTCAGAAAACGGTAATTTGTATCTTCTTGGTCTCTTCTTTAAAATAATGCTAAATTTAATATAGGTATCCGGACTACTTTGCAGGTGATTTCAAATTAAATTCCATGAAAATACTTTATTTTCTACATAATTCTATTAGAGCCGTAAAGTACGGGAAGAAGAAAGTTGAAAGTGATTATGACGTCATAATGGATCTAGCACCAAAAAGTTAGTCTAAGGACATTTACTAGATCTTGACCTTAACAATCTTTTATGGTCTCATGATGAACGTGTTTTACACAGGTGTAAAATGTTTTATTTCCTATCTAGCTTGTAACATGAGCTTTGATTGATTACAAAGTCGGGTGTAAAATTCCGTACACCCAACTTTAGCCAGGGGGTAAAAATTATGACGTCACAATGCATAGTTTCTCTATAATAAAAAGCAAATAACATCACTATATGCATTGAAGGACATAGTAAATCTTAAATCGATAGCTTGATACACAGTTTTAAAAAGAATTATTTGGATACATAGGAAATAAATTCGTTATCCAGGTCCAATCAAGGGTGTACGGGGATTTACCCCGGGTTGTATTCCATACACAGGCCCTTCGGCCTCAGGGTGTATGGAATAAAACCCGGGGTAAATCCCCGTACACCCTTCATTGAACCTGGATAACTAATATTGTTCAAATGGTGTTATATAAGGGCAAACATTTGCAAATGTATAAAATATGTTATGTAGAATCGGGATTTAATGCATATAAGTCACAACACTTGTACATGTATACACGTCATCGGGAAAGGGGAAATAAAGACTAAAGTATTTACATCTACTTCTATAATTCTATTGCCTATAGAGTGTAGAATTCATTAATTATTGAAGTATACTTACCATATTTGGAAGATAAGCTGTAGCCTAGTGAAGGTTAAACAGTTAAACGCAACTATCTGTTCAGCATGTGATATGGATTTCAAGGATAGGTTGGGTCAAAATTTGGTATGTTGGTTCTGACGTCGTCATTTCGAGAACTTGTACAGTAAATAATCTAAGAAAAAGAAGTATTTATAAGTCGCAAAAACATATATACGCACAAACAAAATAATGCGATTGTTTATAGGCCTAAGCGTCCTTGTATGAAAAAAAATGTGGCTGGCGTTAGTTTCAGATAAACCGCAGATAAATTAAAGAAACCTTTTGAAGGCAAATTTATGTGTTTTTATTGTTTTATAATATTTCATACGGGGATTTGAAAGTCGATGGTGGTCTTTTATACCTTTTATTTTGCGTCACTTGATTTGGATTAGAAATACGAAACTAACGCCAAAATAGTGGGATGGGTTCAGGGATGATTTATAACCTTTAAAAAAAACTGAATGAGTCAATATCTTTTGCTGTTCAGTTTGTAAGCCTATAGGCATTGGTCTGCATTCTGTGTGCTAGCAAATGGCACTGGGCCTAGCCAACGCCTAGAAGCTGATGTGAAACAGATGAGACGTAAAAAATGGGCTATAATTTCATAATAAATTATGAGACTGTCCCTTTTTCATAATGCAAACTGTATGAGTTTTGCTAAAACGCGAAAATGAATTGTTGCGCCGTTTTCTTGGCACGTAAACTATCAAAATTGTTTTTTTTATTCAATTTGACAAAAACCACATGTGGCACAAGTCATACATACAGTAAACAAATATAATATAGACAGTCACATAGATTTTGAATTTCTTATATTAATATTACATGCATCACGTATGAAGTTACATGGATTAAGAATTTTATAAGATATGTTACATGTATTATTAAAAAGTGTACAAAATTCACTTCTTAGTTGTTTATAAAGAGGACACATAAATAAAAAATGATGTTCATCTTCGACATTTTGACAATTAATACAATATCTTTCATCTCTTGGTATAATAGGGTTACAATATCTACCAACCTGTAATTTGTAATCACTTATTCTCAATCGAGTTAAAAAAAGAACAGACGAAGATTCTTGGAAATGGAAAAATTTAAGTATGGTTGAATTCAAGTTTGTTTAGATTCCCTTGACTTACATTAACTGGCTGTAAAATGATAATTTGCCATTACCTTTTTCTTTGATATTTATTATATCCTTATAAAAACTATATTCTCAAAATATTTTTTCAAATTATTTTCAAAATCATTTATTGATAATGTAGTAGCATTTGAACCAATAAGTATTATTTAGAGAACTCGATACAAATTTGGGGGCAGACGAGTGCGAAAGCACGAGTCTCCGCCCCCAAATTTGTATCTACGATACAGAACCTGTCGAGTTCTCTAAATGATTTGTGACACGATCAATCAAAAATAGCTCCGCCCACTTTATAACTTTGCAGCATCCAAACTTCCGCCAGAGTTCTGTAGATGAGGCCCCGACGGGGAGTACGCATCCGCAGTATATATATTTCCACGGAAAACGTAAAATTCGGTCAGATTTGTTTTGACAATTTAACGGGGTAGACGTAATGGAGTGATAGTCAGTCTTAATGGATAAATTGGAGGATTTAACCGTAATTGTTGTGATCTATTGTTATAATTGTAGATGGAGATTTATCATAATTTATTTCAGGGGTCTTAAAATCCCGGTTTAACTAGATTTACAAAAACAGGATTTACAGAAAATTCTTCGATGGACTTTGATGTCAGGGATTTTTATTTTCAAATTGAATTGCGACATTAAAAACGAAGTGAAAGAGCCGTGTGGCTGTCGTCAGCGAGAAGGATTTTTTCCGTGATAGCGAATTTTCTGTTTCGTGTGGATTGTTCAAAATTAGGTACAGAGGATGTTTTCCGTTATTGCGATTTTTTTTTACTTTCGATCGAAATTACGTGTAGATTCTGTGTGGAATAAGTTTTTAGAAAGTGATTGAGAAATTTTGACATTCTACATTCTCAGGAAAATACCGGGTATTTCTTAAAAATTAATAATAGGAAAACATCAGTATTTATTATGTGTACGTGCTAGCTTTGCTAAATTGAATCAGATTTATTTTTAGACCGTGCTGTATTTTAGATACAGAATAGTTGGCAAATACAATACTGTATACAAGGCTAATGCAGAACGGAAAGTAGCTCCGCCCACCACAGTCCCGTTCTGTATTGCTAATACAGAACAGTAAACTTCAAAGAAAAACAGTAAACTTCAAAGAAAAACACCGCTATCGTGTCACAAGTAATCCAAGGGTATACCCAAGCCTAACAGGAAATAATATTTGTTGGTGTTATCCCTGTAATTTGGTTGCCTAGCAACACATCAAACATAACAACCATGATTTTAAATTAAAGCCAATTTCAAAAACATTTATTTATAGAATTATGTAACTGCTCCATCTTTCAAAAGACTGGGGTGTCTTTATTTACAAGTAAATTATTTTCTAAGAAATTTGGGGGCCATGCGGCATTACTTGTCCTATCTTTTTTTTTTTTATCTCCAACACAGAAGAGTTACGTACACTAGTGATTTTTCAAGATTTCTTTCAATAGAATTGTAATTAAGATTTTTTAAGTGATTAAAATGTTAAAATGCATTTTTGAAAATGTAAAAAAAAAAAAAAAGAAAACTTTCAAGCAGAAAAAATTCATACATTTCATTAGCTGCAGAACTGTAGCTCTCCGAAAAAATATTTTGACAGACCGGAGCTAAATTTCATAAACTTTTCAAAAATATATTTATTAAGATTGTAAAGCATTTTCGCAAAATTATGTGGCTTCAGTGTAGCTGCCTATACACAAGTACGCAAGTGCGTACACATCATTTTCAAAAAAAAAAAAAGAAAAAAGAAAAAAAAGAAAGAAAGATTTATTCGGAGAAAAAAAAGGCACTATCTTTATTTCAAATTGTTTTGCGTCTTATTGTTTCGATTTTGTTCAGCATGTCTGTACAGTCAAATTTAGTCTTTTATAAAATCAATTCCAAAAACATCTTCCAAAATTCTTGGGGGAGAAAATCTTGAACCAAAATGTTCAACTGTTAATCCGCGTAATCCTGATTATCGGTCAAATATTTGATGAAGGAAAGCGATCTAAGGGACATTGATCTAAAGAAAAAGTTAAAAGGGTCTTTTATTTTTACAGGATTTTCAATTTCCGCTGAGGTAATGAACAAATGTCGTTAAACAAAAAATGATAAAATTTGAATTACGCTGAAGAAAGCAAATAATAATAATATATATCATGTACGTATGAATAACTTCTTTCACTGATGTTACCAGTTTATAGAATTATATTATGTAAGCATTGTTTAAGCTATCAAAACGTAAAGGTAATCAAAAGACCCCCCCCCCCCCCTCCATACAAACCCGTTCATATTTTGAAATAGTTAAACTCCAGTGATAACGATATTGAAATTACTTTCTGTTTTATTTTGTCATACTTGGAAACTTTTTTTCCAATACCGATATATCCGTTCATTAATTTGATTTAATAGAATTATCGTTCTCTTCTTGAAGTATCCATGGAAATATAACTTAGCTAATGTTTGCTCGAGAAAGGAGATGTCGCGTGATATCTTTTGCAGGAAAACGATTGAAAAATTTCGTAAAATCCAGTGATCGAGCTCAGGGTGGCCCCCACACCCACGACCGTTTTCTGCATACACTTCATTTCCATGCTGGCTACGCGCCTGGGCTTGGCCAAACATGCAGTTGTTAAACTAAACAGATATCACTTTAAAAGTGAAAGTGGCACCCAATTTAGCAAAGAAATCTGAATTTTGGAAGAAAACATTATGTTTGTTTCATTTATCCTTAAATTCCGATGTTTAGTTGTACAACTGGGAAGTGCTCATATATAACTTCATGGAATTTCAAAGAATTTTGACTATATATATAAAGAAAACAAATCCCTTCCCGTAAAGACGTGTAAATCAAATAAAATAAGCGAATCACAGATTATAAATTAACTTCCGTAACGTTTTTGTTTAGTTTGCCCCCAACCTTTCAGATCTGACAATAGACATTGAAAAGAATTAAGACTATTACAGTTCCGAAATAGCAAAAATTTCTGACAAAATTGTTATTTTTATGGTAATTTTTTTAAAATTACTTCCTTTACAGTAATTCAAGAATATTTACATGTATATGTATACAAACTTTGAACATTATGGTATTAAATTGCTACATATATTTTTGAATCGCACAAACCAATTTTTAAATCGTTCAGACAATTTTCTAAATTGTACAAACAAATTTCTATTAAATGACTAAATCGTACAAACAATTTTATTTATTTTCCTGCAAATTAAATTAGAATGGCACTTGTGCGCTGTCATAGAAATGAACAAAAATAGGGACGAAAATTTTCACATTTCCGATGAATAATTAGACTATGCATGAAAATGACCACACCCAGTTTCTGTGGTCCATCGTTAAGTATACTAACTATTATCTCATTCAATACTTCAACCTTACGCAAATTTTCTTTTCTTCAAAAGTTATTTGTATTGGTGATTCAAAAACATTCCTTGAAAGTGCTTTGTTTAAATAGATAGAGGTTGATTCTGGTGACCCCAGCTCGTCTTAACCCTAACCCTAACAGCCTTACCCTCATTGACCACTCCTAACCTACCTTCAAGAATTCATATCCACTCCTAGTTATTTTAAAAAGCTCTGCATGCATGGATTTTCCCCGATGTATTTATAGCGTCGTTTTATAAATAGCATTTACGCTCACACGTGTGAACACACCCTCGCACACACACACACACACACACACACAGAACATGACACAAGGTATTTATATATCTTATTTTTTTTCTATATATATATATTTAGGGGGCTCGTCTTTCTGGATTGTTAAAATAAAAATAAAAATGAGTAAATTAATCTTCTTAAAAATAATTTAAATAATTAAAAAGATGATGGCACGTTCAGGCAAGTACTATATAAATGCTTTGTTTTCTACAAATTTTGCTGAAGACGAGTGCTCTGATAAACCAACCATGTTTTATCTGAAACTACAATTTTTTTCTACCGGTATTTTTTTTTCAAGGATTTGGCAATTGAAAGAAAAACATTTTTCTTTAGTCCTTTAATTTCTACTCTCAAGAATTTTCAGAATGTGTTGTTCTTCAATTTTGGAAAGGAAATATTTCAGCAACGGCTTAAAAAGTGGGGTTGGGGAGGGCAACATCTGGAAAATCTGATCGGCAAAATCTTTATAGACTGTAAATCCGATTGGGCGAAATTCTATTTCTCGGGGGTCGGGGTGAGGTATAAGTTGGGAGGTTGGTCCCACAGGCGCCTGACGTTACTTATTTTTCTTTTAATAAAAAAAATATACACATACCGAATAATAAACAAGGTACCCATCGAAACCCGCCATCTTGGATTTTCGAAGTAGGTCATCACTTGTATTTTCGTCTGAAACTCCGTCAAATAAATTCCCTGCAACCATATTCTTTCTGTAGCCAGTCTTTCGAGGTCTAAACTTACGGACACTGCAGCCAGGAAGGCGCATTACACTTGCAAATATTGAAAATCCCTCGTCAAACTCGACCTACTGCTTCAACATTCCGAGAAATCGCCAAAAGGGGGCCGGAAGTTTACATCAATATGCTAATGGGAATTCCGTATTTGTCAGTTTTGTGGTGGATCTAAAGCGGGGTGTCATAATTACTTTGAAATTTTAATGAATATTTCGATTATAGAAATGAAAAAAATGCAAAATGGGAAAAATAAAACACTTCTTATAAATATACCTGTAAAATATACTATATTAATCTATACAGGTCGTTGCGTTCGAAACAATTTTGAATAAAAGAGAGGGGGGGGGGGTGCTTAAAAAAATCAATAACAAATCATCTAGAGTTAATTGAATCGTTTTCAAAAAACAATAGACTGCAAACCATCCAGTTATATATATGTATACATATATACATGGCATATGCTTAATTGAAAAAGGAGAAGGATCACACTGAAAAAAGGATATGTAATGAAATCAAATATAAGCCTATGCGAAATGTATATGTATAATCTGTCACCAAGAAAAAAATAAAAATGTCGCCATGTCACTACTTTATTGCAGTACATAAAATTGCAGATCTCAACATTCCCTGGGATAATTTTAGTGTGGACCCCCCCCCCCCCCTCACACACGTGCGTACATACTTATAAAGTCAATCTTCTGCACGGATAGCGCTCAATCAGGGCATCAATAATGACAGTGTTATTAATTATATTTAGTGCATGTAAGTAGGGCCTTACAACCAACTCAATTTGTCTCGAAAATGTTCATTGATCAGCTAGCATGATCAGGCCGATCTTCGACATTTACAAAATAATAATCGCTTTATTAATCAAGATATATCGAAATTATTTTGAGAGAAATAAAAAGAATGTTCTTACATGTATATTACGTTGTATTATTGTCTGAAATATTGTGTTTGGAATAAGTACTAACTTTCGCCGGTTATTTTTAAAAATAAATCGCACAAATATATTGACCAATCAAAAAAGGGCTTTCCCTAAGAATTTCAAGTCGTATGTAAACTTCCGGCCCCCTTTTGGCGATTTCTCGGAATGTTGAAGCAGTAGGTCGAGTTTGACGAGGGATTTTCAATATTTGCAAGTGTAATGCGCCTTCCTGGCTGCAGTGTCCGTAAGTTTAGACCTCGAAAGACTGGCTACAGAAAGAATATGGTTGCAGGGAATTTATTTGACGGAGTTTCAGACGAAAATTAAATACAAGTGATGACCTACTTCGAAAATCCAAGATGGCGGGTTTCGATGGGTACCTTGTTTATTATTCGGTATGTGTATATTTTTTTTATTAAAAGAAAAATAAGTAACGTCAGGCGCCTGTGGTTGGTCCTTTCTCTTACTTTTTCATGTTTAGTACATTCTTCTTTTTTTTTATCCTCGGTTATGCTAGTGTTCGACCTTTTAGCAACAAAAGGGAAGAGGGGTATATGGAAATTCACAATAGCAAAAGACAATACTCGGAAAAAAAATATTGATAGAAAAATTGTAATAAATAAAACACGTACCTGATATTCACACGTACCGTCAAAAATTAAATAGTTTCATATGGACTTTGATTCATATGCATCATGGCATGCATAGACAATTTAAGTGTCTACACATCACTATTTATTTAATTATCTCAACCACCTATGCATACAGATATGTATAATACATTATTCATGCTTATACAGCGCTGCTGCAGAAAGCAGTTTACCAATTAAATCAAGAATATATACTGTAATTTTTCGGAGGCGGGATGAGATCCACACCTTTGTCGTGCAGTTCTAATCGTTTTATAGTTTTCCCACACACACCCCTGCCATCGCTCTTGATTTAAGATTTTTGGACAAATTCATTGAAAATGATGAACATGATGTTAAAAATATAAACTTGTTAAAAATCATTTTTTTCACCAGAAAGGACCTTTTTTTTCAATCTAACACCCCTGAATAGATTTTTTTCCCGAAAATAGTTCCCTATATTAATAATAAACATAATAAGGTAATATACATGCGAAATATGAAAGCCCTCTCTTCTCATTCAAAAGATGTGACCATTGTTAAAAGTCTAACATCAAGGTCAAGGGGTCACAAATCAAAGTGTATTCAAAAAGGACTTGTTACAGGTAATGCATTTGTTTAATACGAAAGCCCTTTCTCTTCTCATTTAAAAGTTACGGTCAATTTAAAGTCACGTTTAAGTTTTTGAACTTCAGAGACCTTTCTAAATACATTATGATTTTTCACCTCGTGACCTTGACGTTCGACCTACATTTCAAAAACATTAACCTTTGTCATACATTTTGAATGAGAAGAGAGGGCTGTCATATTAAACTGTGTATTGCCGGTGACCTTTCTTATACACTATGATTTTTGATCTCTTGACCTTGAGGTTTGACCTACTTTTCTAAAATGTTAATTTTCCCCTATAACTTTTGATTGAGAAGAGATAGGGCTCTATATTTGACATGTGCATTAACCGTGACAAGATATTTCCGAGCATACTATGATTTCAGCCCTTTGACCTTCACGATTGACCTCATTTTAAAAAAATAACAACTTTGGTTATAACTTCTTAATGACACATGAAAGTTAAGCTTTCTCAAATGAGATCAAATATGTTGGTACCTAAAGTAAGGCCTATTCACAAGAAATAAAAATGTGAAATATAAAACCCTAGCACCACCTGTTCAAAGGTTATGACCAAGGTTAACGTTTTTAAATGTAGGACAAACTCCAGGGTCACGGTCAAAGAGTCAAGGTTGTTGGTTTCTAAAGAAAGGCCTTGTTTCAAAAATTACATATGGGAAGTATGAAAGCGCTGGCCCTTACCGTTCAAATGTTATGGCTGAGGTTAAAGTTTGCAAAAAGTAGGTCAAACTCCAAGGTTAAGGTCAAAGGGTCAAAGTTGTTGATATCCAATGAAAGGTATTGTCACAAGGATTAAATATGTGAAGTATGAAAGCTCTAGCCCTTACTGTTCAAAAGTTATGACCAAGGTTAAAGAAGATGGGGGAACAAGGCGGGCAGAATGCCTATAGCGTCAGATACTCAGTATTAAGAAATCATATTCAATATGTGAATTGAGTATTTAAATTAACTTCTCATTATTGAAATGAATGAAATTATTTTTTAAAAAAAACCTTTTTCTGAGAGAAAAAAAAAATCTCGTAAAAATTTTTCTTTTATAAAAATATGAGATGGTATTCGTGGGATTCGAATCCTAGCAATAAAAATCCAACAAATCATACTGCTTTGAGATTGACATGGCTTATGGTGATTTTGGGCATTTAAATCATGTTTGTGATATGACCCTTGACTTAATGGATTTAAAGTATTTCTCGGAAAGATGCAAATGTTTTGTCATAAAAGTGTACTTTTAAGATATAGTGGGTCTTCGCTCCATGTTTTTGTAAACCAAAAATTGTATATTCTGTTGCAAACTTTTAGGATCATCTTTCCAAAAAATGGATCGAAGACCCACTCATATTGAAAATTTTTGTTTAAGTATTAGAAAATGATCGTTTTTGTTCTTTTTAGTGTGTGTATGCTTTTTCATGGGCAAATATTTTCAGTCTTTGTGAGATTTTTGTAAATTGTAGAATTTTACATTAAATATACTTTATTATTAGATAAAATATCAAATAAAATTTAGATATAGTCGAGATTCTATTTTTTCATTCTTATCTGTCGCACTATAGGCACTTCGCTCGCGTTTCCCCCCATCTTCTTTGTAAAAAGTAGGGTCAAATTGCAAGGTCAAGCTCAAAGCGTCAAAGTTGTTGATATCCAATGAAAGGTCTTCTCACAAGGATTAAATATGTCAAGTATGAAAGCCCAAGCCCTTATCGTTCAAAAGTAATGGCCAAGTTAAAGTTTTTTCGTAAGTATGGAAATCTCCAAGGTCAAGGTCAAAATTGTTGGTTTCAAATGAAAGGTCTTGCCACAAAGAATTGATATTTGAAATATGAAATTCCTAGTGTCTACCGTTTAAAAATTAGGGCCAAGGTAAAAGTTCGGATTTTTTGTGTTAAAATGGGTCAAACTCTAAGGTCAAGGTCAAAGGGTCAAGGCTCTTGATATCAAATGAAAGGTCTTGTCACAAGGATTACATATGTGAAGTATTAAAGCCCTAGTCCTAACCCTTCAA